ACCACCCAAATATTTGTGCACTGCTGAATGGATGAACAAAGCATGACATATCCATACCATATCATTATTTGGCCATAAAAAGGAATAAAGGAGGCTCAGCATGGATGAACTTTGAAGCCCTAGGTCAAATGAAAGTAAATGGTGACAAGAAACCATATAGGACATGATTCAATGTAATGAAATGCTCGGAAAAGCACATGTGTAAAGTATATCATGGTTACCTAGAGCTGGGAGGTGCAGATGGGGGAATGGGAAGTGATTGCTAATGGGAGGGGGGGTTCTTTTTATGGCGTTATAGTACTTGCTTGTAGTTCATACAATAGCATGTGGGAATGGATTCCAGTGACATCAGGTTAACCAATTCTTGTTTCAGTTATAATGCATCAAATCCAATATTTGGGTCAGGTTATTAGCATCAAGAGATTGAGATAAATACATTTTTATTGGCGGGGGTGGGGGCACTGGGGATTAAACAGAGGTGCTTGACCACTGAATGACATCCCTACTCCTTTTTTTACTCAAGATAGGGTCTTCCTAAGATACTGAAGCAAGTCTTCAATTTGCAATCCTCCTGCCTCAGCCTTTGGAGTCACTAGGATTATAAGCATGTGCCACCACATGCTTCTGGCTTCAACAATTATACTCTGTAACTGAGCATGGTGTACCTGATGCAGATGAGGTGGTTCTCAATACATAATCTAGACTACATGCAGAATTTCCCCAGCCTTATATACATAGTAGGTTGGGTCCACAAGAGGTCACTTAAGACTCTCAGGTTTACTAAAACATCTACTTGTACATGATCTGCACTGTGTACCCTGCACTTACTAACTGCTCTTTGCCCCTGTAAGCTGCAACAGCCTAGAAAGTGAAGGTGCTGCTTCCTTTGACTCTTCAGCACCTCTACTACCTACCCCAAATATGTACCTTCTCTCAAGCTTTCCTGTCTTGGTAAATATCTGCTGCTTGGGTATTCTATTTTCGACAGATATCAAATTTCCACAGGGAGCATAAGTCAAATGCAAATGGGTATCCATCATTTCTTCATTCACAAATATTTATTGAGCATCTACTACGCACCATTTACCACATTAGAATCTGGGGTGCAATGAAATATCATCTCTGCCCTCATGGAGCTTACAATCTAATAGACACAATACATGGTGAACCAATACATAAAATCGCAGGTGTGATAAATCCCACACAGTATATAAACCGGGTGATATGATAGAAAATATCTAAGAAACACCTACTTTTAAAATAAAATAATTGAAAGCTGGGGGTATGGCCCAGTGGTAGATTACAAGCTTAGCATGTGCAATGCACCAGGTTCAATCCCCATCACTAAAACAACCAACAATAAAATAAAATAAAATCATTAGGAAGGGCCTGGGAACGTGGTTAAAACTGGGTCTGAAACCTGACTCCCCACTTAGCAGTTGGCCATAGACAAATCCTTTACCCTCTTAGAATCTGTTTCCACATTTGTAAACTGGAAATAATTCCAACAAATTCTCATTACTGTTATCTATCAGGCAAATTCCAATGCCTTCTGTTGCACAAGAGTCTTCACAGGCAGAGACTACTGACAAAGGCATTTCCACAAGGACAAAGGGCAGCAAACACTAAATGCAGATGTAGCCCACACTAGTGAGAGCCACAGGGAAATGAGAGCAAATCTGTCATGGCAAGGCAGTGAAGAGAAGGAAAGGAAAGGCTGAGACAGAGCTAAGCAGGGAGGAAGGAGCCAACAGGCAACCGCAAGGGATTAGAGCATGCACAGCCCAGAGGAGAGCGAAGGTGAGATGCAGGACATGGAAGGGCTGAACTTTGGAAAGTCTTTACAAAACCCAGGGATGAGCTCCACAGGTGATCTAAGAAACTCATCATTGTCTCCTCTAAAGGACTAACCACAACTGCCTCCCGGCTGGTAAACAGCACTATTATCCTTCAACCTGTAACAGGATAAAAGCATAACAGTCTCGGACTGGCACTTATTCCTGCAGCTATGCAGTGAATTCTGGAACTTGAGTCCACTTGTTCCTAACTACTTTGGCCAGGATCTGAAAACCAGTTTCGTCTAGATTTCCATGAGTTTCCTAAAAACCATAGCTAATTAATGTCACTTCAGCTTAGTCAAAGGGCTTCTGAGGTAGGTTTGGGCCAGAATCCCAAGCCCACTACTCACTAAGATGTTGGTGAACTTACTAAATCTGTTAGTCCATTTGTAAAGTGAAAAGCTATTATAAGGAATGAGACACACTGTAGTAAAGTTAGCACACAAAACCTAATACTAGGTAAGAATTCTTGTTTTTTAAAAACTAGATAAGCCCTTTGAAGGCTTCAATTAGATCTTTTATAATTACTTTATCCCAGACATAAGAAAAACATTAAACATCTGTTGAATAGTTTGATGAAGGCTAAAATAAGAGACATATTCCATTTTGAAACAACATGCTCCTTAATTTAGGATAGTTAAGCTTCTAGAACACAGAATAAAGGAAGCTTTATAAACCATTCGGAAATGAAAAGCAGTTTGGGAAATAATGAACGTACTATGCCAGTTGAGAAAATGCTACTTACACCTCTAATATGAACATAGCAATCTGTTTTCTTTCTCCATAGCCACCCTTGAACCCCAAGAATAAGATCTGATTGGCAACATAAAAGAATGCAAAGTGAAACGGGCAGAGCTTGGCCCTGTTTTGTTTTAGCCTTACCACTTTTCCAGTTTGGGTTGGACTGCCTTTGTCTCAGCAGATCCTACTGGCTTTAGGGAGATCAGAAAGGCCACAATGGAGCCTACAAGAGGAAAAAGAAAGCTGCTACTAAGGGCTGGCCCTAGGCACAAATTGTTTATTAAAAAAAAAAAAAACCCAAAGTGTAGTCTGACCAATATTTTTGCTACTGCACAGTGCAAGTAACACTATGTGAAAAATCAGTTGGATATACATATGGAGATGTTTCTAGAACTTGTCAGATAAATTCAGTTAACCTTCCATACCCATAGGACCTGCATCAGTGGATTCAACTAAACATTTGGGGGAAGCAGGACTGCATCTGTACTGAGCACATACAGGCTTTTTCTTATTATTATTTAAAAAGAAAGCATAGCTATTTATACAGCTTTTATATTACATTAGGTATTATAAATAATCTAGAGATGATTTAAAGTGTATGGGTGGATGTACACAGATTATATTAGTACAATGTCCTCTTATATAAGAGGTAACATCTGTGCTTGTTAGTACTGGGTGGGGCAGCTCTGGAAGCAGTCTCCCCAGATAATTGGGACAACTGTATATTTAAAACTGAGAAATCCTGGGAAAGTATCTTCCAATTATCCTTAGCCCAGTTCACCAGGCTCAGAAGAGCTGAGGATCTGAGGGCAGATGGCTGCATAAAGATAAACGTGTTCTTGGAAAATACACTATGCAGCCCTTCTCACACCTCTTGGTGGAGTATAAATGACAACAACTGTCTGGAAAGGTGGCATGAATCAAGAACCACAAAAATGTTCATATCCTTGACCCAGAAATCACACCTCTAGGAATTTATCCTAAGAAATAATTTATGCACAAATCTAAAATGTCCTATGGGGAAAGGTTATATGAATTGTGATAGAGCCACACAATGGAATATCATGGACTTAATAATGGTTGACAGAGTTTTTAATGACAAGGAAGAATGCCTATAGATTAAGGGAAAAAACAAGGTACAAATTATATATAAAAATGCATAAGCAGCAAAGAGTCTGGCAAGAAATATGCAAAAATATTTAATGTGAATCTCTTCTCTCTAGTGATGGACTTAGGGGCAATTTTTGTTGTTCTTTTCTGTACCATCTACATTTCTACAATGAGCATATACCACTGACATAAACAAGAATAAAAAATCAGTGAACCAGACAATCATTAAAGAAGAATGGGCAAATATTTTAATAAAACTTTGTTTTTTCTAGAAATTGCAGTGTGGTTCCTAACAAAAAAAAGGTGGGGGGGGGAGTGGGAGTCATACAAACCAGTCATTTATTTGATAGGAGGCATGAGACTCTTATAGAAAAGAATTTAAGAATTCTGCTTTTTAAGTTTCATTGTATGCATGTAGAACTGTAGCAGAACAGATGGGAATTAGGTGGAACCATCAATCACCCATCAAAATGACACTACCAAGCTCTCAAATCACATGAACCCAGTGCCACTAAGTCAAATGTCACCCTTAAGTTATAATGGGGTACTACTTTACATTTTCTAAGGTGAAAACAACTAGGAAAAAAATTCATTATGATATTCCAAAGAACTAGAAATAATTGGAAACAATTACTTTTTAGCCAATGAAGGCTGGGGAGAAAAGAATACCTGACAACTAAACCAATGCTCTGTAAAAACCTTAACAGTTAAAAGCACAAATGTAACTTTACTGGCAAAAGAAGAAAGGAGGTTATTAGATGGTGAGTGTCTAGGATTGGTTTGAAGGTATATCAAAGTCAAAATAGTTTCTGTTCAACTTTAATTAAAATTCAACATCTTACTTTTCTTCAGATTTCTTAATACTATCCTAAAGAACCTTGTTTTAAACCAGGAGTTATGGATCAACTGAATTACACTTGCTATCTGCTATCTCTTACCTACATATTGTATTTTTATCCTGGAACATGTTATCAGATAGATGCCACATAACCTGAATTCATCACAACTATTTCATTTGGCCTTTACATTTATTGTAGAACAGATGCCAAGTATTTATAACTTCAGGGCAGAAATGGAATAAGATCCTAAAATGGATACCCTAGGGGTGAAAAGTGGGTGAGTGTAAGTGGCTCTAGGCGAGCAGCTACAGTCAGCACCAGATATTCTGCAGGACGTACCAAAGCAAGAGAAGCCTTCCCTATTTCTAAGTGAAGAAAGGTAAAAATACAAGTTGGTTAAAAGACTATAAAAGTAGTAATTACAGCTCCTTTCCTGAAACAAGATACTCCAAATAATGATTGACTGGCTGACTTCTAAGTAACAGCTTTTTATTCCATTATACTTTGTTAAGCAGAATCTGGGTTAGCAAAATACACTGCTATCAGGATCTTTGTAAAAATAATTAAAGTGAACATATTAAATCAAGGGTAATAGCTTAGAAACCATGTTGTTGTCATAGTGCCAAAAGCATACCAAAAAGTATCTTCAAAGACATCTACAAAAGGTAACCCCAACATTAAAAACTTGAAAGTATATTTTCAAAAGTGTTAGTTGCCTGAGGTAAAATAAAAATTTATACATAAGTTCAGTGTAAAGCACCAAAAATGAACACTAAAACTGTTCACATAAAACAGTAACAAGGAAACATCACAACTACAAAAGGAGAGGTTATCAGTTACAAGAACCAAGTAAAGTATTAATATTTTCATTACTTTATAAAACTTTGCTGATTCAACTGGGAGAAAAGGAGTTTCCGAGAATCTAAAGGGTCACAAAATGATAACAAATATGCATTATTTCTTTGTTAACAAATTATACCACACAAATCAAGTTACTTTTTCTGATTACAGAGTTAACAGAAATTGCATCTGTACTTACAGCAGCAACACGAAATCCTACCAATAAGTAGTTCTCTGTATCTGGACCAAAAATAAGACTGTAGTCTGGATTGAAACCTAACAGTTAAAAGATGAAACTGGCAACTATGGTGCAACTAGTGCTCCAAGAGTCAGGGCTGACTTTGCTTTTCCATGTCTTTAACATGCAGCCCACACAAAGGGATACTACATTAAATAAGTGGATGACGGAGCCGAAGAAGGTATAATGTGGAAAATCACACATTACAGAACACGAAAAGAGGCAACAAATGCCATGAAAACTTGAGACAGCATCAAAACCCAAGCAGGGAGCTCCCTGGAGTTGCACCAATTCTGAAGCAAGGTGTCCTCGTTAAACTGCAAGTGGACAGCCCTCATATGGGCACCTATGCTTGAGAAGGAGACTCGTCAGACTAGCTATGAAAAGTGAACACAGCCTAGGAGAGAAAGCTCAACATAAGAAAATGCTAGCTTCTAGATAATTTAAGAAGCCAAATGAAATAAAGTATAAAATTTGGATAAAAATGTTTCTCTACAAGGAAAACCCAGTTTATGAGTGGTTTAAAATCAAACAAATGATAGGAGAGTGGTTTTCAAAGTGGACCCAGTAAAGCTAGAGGGGTGGAGTGTTTTTGGATACCATGGAATGAGACATGAAGTGGGTTTCATGCCCCTCTCCCAAACCCTTCCTCACTGTTCAGTTCAAACATTTCTCATTTTGTTTCATCTTTTGTGGTTTAAAGAAAGACTGAAAAAAAGGAAAAAGAAATTAATAATGTCCCCTTTCCTCGCTATTGTCTTTTCCTTTTGAAAATCATTCCATGAGACAGAAATTACACTGGCAAAAAATATGACTGAAGACCTAAAACAATTTTTATGTCACTGCCCCTAAAATGTGAACAGTTTCAACAGTGATTTGTATATTTTCCTATAAAATCAATGAGCAAATTAAATTCTTAGGGAGAGACTAAATTTTGTTCTTTCCACCTTCCCTAAATCTGTCCTTCCACTCCTATCAACATTTCTAGACACTGGAAAGAAAATTCGAACAAACTTTCTAGCCACACCTTACCTCAAAAATATTTCATTCAAAGGCTGCATAGAATTTTTTAAGAAGGCAAGCCTTAAATTTATAGAAAACTCTAGAATGAGAATGTACAGTTACCAAAAATAATACATCATGTCAGGGCAGAATCTGCATAGTGTTCTTAGACATAATCACTAATAAAGAGCAGCCAAATCCTAGAACTTCCTCTGCATTCATGAGCAAACAGAATCAAAATGTAAATGACAACCAGGGAAAAAAGAACACCACAAAGGCCATTTTTCTTTGATGGAATCATGAAGAGTGAAAGAATAGTGAAACTCAAGCTTTGGCCACTTATCAAAATTTCATTACTGCAACAAAAAAATAAATCTCCATGGAAAAGACTCATTTAGCAAACATGACTTCTTTCCATATATTTTTTCTTTCACATTGGATTAAACAGAAGTTGCTGTCATTTTAGAATCAGTGATTACATCTTTTTTAATTAGAAAAGTTTAAATATTTACATAATTTTTATTGCTGTTTATTATACCCCCCCTCAAAAAAACACCTTTAAACTGCCTTGTAGAATCCATCCAGTAATGTATGAAATTGAAATCCACTGCTCAAGAAGACACTGTTATGGCTGAAATGTATCTGATGCTCAACATGAATACGAAAAGTCCTTGTGTGTCATTTGGTTCTTGCTTCAGTCATCTGGGTTCATCTCTCAGAAAGCAAAAGAATCCATTTGACGTTTCAATAAATATCAAATTGCCAAAAAAATAGCATCCATGGACCAGAGATCCAAGAAAGAGCAGTTTTGATGAATGATTCCCAGAATCAAATGAGTCCGCCTTTAGTCCAATGAGATGATGTCAGGAATGTTACTTCCACTGCTGGTTATGACCCCTGTCTCACTTCTGCTGCTGGATGAACTAACATGAGTACTGCTTTCATGGGGGCTGGTGGTGGTGACGGACGTACTGCTTGCTGTTAAGGGTGAGGTGAGACTATCCAAAAACATAGGAGGACAGTACTGCTTGAAACAAACAATGATGCCGATGAGGAAGAGGCTACATTGGTTTTAAATAAATAGACTAGAAACTGTTAGATATGCACAAGTGATAGTCACATATTTAAATCGCCCTTGAATTTAAAGATACCTTTAAACTTCACATCTTTGGGTGGAAGATGGCCTGAATTTAGCTAGCTAGTTTACATTCTTCAGTGAATGCATCATATTCTTGATTCTCTCAAATCAAGAACACGTGAAACTTGTTTGTTGACCGCATACAGAGGTAAAAGAACAAGTAATGTCAACAATAACTGAAATCACTTAGTATTAAATATTGGCCCCACAATTATGATTCATTCTTAATTGGTCACTAAGTATATTTAGACAAGGTTTAAACCACAATATAAAAGGCTGATAAGCACTTATTTTTCAAGCAAAAATGCTAATGAAAAGCTCAACCATTTTCCAAAATTCAGTATCAAACAGACCCTTTATGAGTAAGAGTGAATATTAAGAGTGAGCAGCAGAATGATGGGGCTGGACTCCTCTGTACATACACATAGAACACTACTTGTGTAATAAAAATGCCAACATTCATTCTAAAATGGAGACTACAAGGAATGCTCAGGCAGGAAATCATATAATCACAAAACTTTGGAATGCATCTTAATGAAGATCTAATCTAATCTTAAAATGCTTGCTTGACATTCCTCACCAGTGTTCACATTTCAAGTCACCTTACCATACAGGCTGCTAATTACCCCCAAAGACAAATCTAAAGTGTGAGAGTCTATAATACTGACCAAGAGAAATGGAGAGAAACAAGGGATAAACATTTAAATGATCATAGTAGAATACGTTATAAGAGAAACAACCATACTGACTTTAACAAAATAATTAGCAACTCACTATCCTAAGTGGGTCTGGATACAGACTGAAAGGTCAGTAAGGATATCTGATTGGTATTATATATTCTATATATCATTCAATTCATTCTTAGAACCACTAACTTATGAAATGGTCATTTAAAACTGAAATTGTTTAGACTCCATGATCTTCAAAGCCCATAAATAAAATGGGAATAACAGCACCAAGTTTAGGCTGTCTTTCAACAGAGAAAGTTATTTAATGTTTTGGATGGAAAATTCTTGATATATTAATAAAATGAATGCCACACACAAAGAGATTCAAGGGACGTTATAAGGGGGAGAAAATAATTTTAAAAAGCTTCTAAGTAGCTCTGAAGATAGTTGAATCATTGGATACTACAAATTCTTCTCTAAAATCAAATCAATTTCTAACTTCTCTAAAAAGTTGTTACTAAAAAGTCAGGGAAAAATCTGGGGGGAAAATTCCAGAAACTTATGATTTTATTCTTACTACTTTTCAGGTTGGTTTTTACTACCTGACAGTAAAAACACACCCCTCTTCATTTATACAATGAGTGGATGCTATAGTCCCATCCTCCATGTACTTCCTCGCCTTGAATTGTTATAACCATTTTACTTCTAACCCTTATCTATATATCTACATAAAGACAATAGATATTAAGGGGCAATATGGAACTAAAGCAGGAAAACCTAAGGATTCTATAGTAAATGGAAGGCACAATCTCATTCATCTACCAACTTATGTAATCAGCCTGACACTCACCGAGGCAAACAGAGCTATGAAATAATAATCTCAGGCTCTAATATAATTTTTTCTAAAGGACTTCACAAAAATTGGTAACCTTTAAGTCTGAAAAATCCATATCCTAGAAAAATAGATATCCTTGCTATAGAATCTACTAAATCAACTAAAGGTGACAAGAAATTCCTCAGTCTGTTCATTATTTGAGGTCCAAGTTCCCAGTGCTGTTTGTGTTCAGATTAATAAATTACAGGAGGCTCATAACAGACCTGTAGATAGTTGATGCTGAGCAACCCATGAAGTAGGGGTCTATGGTTCATCCTTTGCCCCACTACTCATTATACCTGCTCTCAAAGTCTCTTTCTGGCTGTTTTCTTTCCCTAATTTTCCTCTGCTAGAGCTCTAAGCATGTGAATGGAATCCATGCTCACTGAACAGTCTGAAGGGCTGGAACTGGGAGCTAACAGAAATGCTTATCTTTGAGAGAAAATAGGCACATCACACCTTTTCACTGAGGTATTCCTAATGCCTGATGGTTTTCCTTCAAACAATGGAGAATTAAGTTGGCAAGTCAAGTCTATTTAACGAGCTTTAGCTGTTATTTATGTATATAGTAAGTTTCTGTTTTGGGGAACTGGAGACTGAACCCTGGGGCACTTTTACCATTTAGCCACATACTAGCCTGTTTTCTTATTTAAGGACAGGGTCTAAGTTGCTGAGGCTGACTTTGAACTTGTGATCCTCCTGCCTCAGCCTCCCAAGCCGCTGGGATTACAGGTGTGTGTCACCGCGCCAAGCAAGATTAAGTTTTTATTGATAAAATTTTACCTTTAAAACCTTAATCCCCAGCCACCTGGCACTGCTTCCACTCAATCTAATCAAATACTGATTAATCTCAATAAAGTATGATTAAAAGCTTAGGTATTAAAGACAAAAAATTATAAATTGAAAAACAGTAACTTTATTTCTCCAAATAAAACTGTGAAATATTTATACAGTACTTTCTTCCCTTCAATGTAAATAACTGATAGTTGACTGTCCTGATTTTATGCAACTGGTCATTTTTAGTTAGTATGGCATAACAATCAAATACAAATTAGTTGCTTAAATTCAGGATACATACCTGGGGATCAACTGGAATAAGGGAAAGAAAATCCAAACCTAAAACAAAAATGTTTTGTTAATAGTTGACTCATATTTTGGGGACTAGAATTATTTTCCAAAATGATTTTGTATTTATCATAAATCACAAAACTACTGGGTTAAATGCTTACCACTTTGCCAGGAAGTTCTGTACCATATCACTTATCAGTGACACATCAGTGATATTTGATGCATATAAAAACCTGACAAAGTAACTGGAAAAACCACCTCCCAGCATCTCAAAGGAAGCAGTCCAAAAATTTTCAGAGAAGTAGGACTAATCATACATTTTTCCTTTGTCATTTAACAGAATGAGAGGCAATCAAAATGATGAGATAATGATCTTCAGATTAAAAAGAAAAACATACTTAGGTTCTTAAAGATAATTCACATTTATTTTTCAGAAATACACATTGAGGCTCATCTAAAATATTACTTCTTAAACAGATGTCTCTTTCATTGATACCTCTCTGACCCTTGCTGCCAATGAAGAGTAGTACACAGTCCCACACTCCGCACAAAGCAAGCAGTTGGTAACTGTTGCTCACTAACAAGCAAAAGTTAATACAAGTTTACTAAGCTCTAAACCAATGACCTGGGATTCTCCACTTATGTTTTAGAAATAGGAATGTAGAAAAGGTTGCCCAGGAATATCATTTAAGAGGGTTAAAGGAACAGAATAATAAAACTTCAGATCTGAAAAACCAAGCAATGAACTTTGAAGTCAGTTCCCCAAACCTCCTTGGGTAACTGAATTCTTTTCAATTATTTCAAAATAAAAAAGGAATCATAGTAGGCCTAGCCATTAAGACAGGTCAGAGTCTATCAATAACATGGCTTTTTATATGCAGGCATTCAATGTCACCCCAAATGCAACTACAGAGTCAAAGTATGATGTTATATACACTATTACTCAAAACAGAGACTATCAGTGAGGATTGTTTTTAAAATTTTTAATATCCCCTATGAATAATTTTGACTCAAAAATTTTAAAGTGTATTTACTCCCTTATAATCTCAAAATCTGTTGTAAGCATATCAAGTGATATAAACTATAGCACCAGTTATCTAAAATGAAACAATTCCTAAAGCATTTTTAAAATGTTGCTATAGTTTTTCATTTCATACACTGGTTACCAGCTATATAATACAGCAGTTTGAGACTATGATGGACAAAGGAAATTACAATGAATCTTTCCAATGACTTCCTCCATTAAACTGAAATCAGTAAATGACATATTTCTAAGCAGAGAGTTTCTCTTCACATTAATGATATTGTTCAGTAAATCCTGCTTCTGAACAGTAATTCAGATTTAGCCTAAAGTTACATACCTTCTCAGAGCTTTATATAGAAAAATTTCTATTGCTGTCACAAAAAGTTTATTGGAATATAATTGGCCTCATTTTATTAATTTTTTGTTTTGCTTCAAATGGTATAACATTTTCCTAATTTTTTAACAGTTTCTACGTTTTAATAGTTTACATGTTCTATCACTTAATGTTTATTACTCAATCCATTTTAACTTTTTTAAAAATAAAGCTAAAGAAAGTATTGACATCTCTGATGGAATACTGTGTACTGAAACCAAATCACTCAGAAATGTTCATTTTCTAAATGTTCAACTTCTTCCATTTCATAATTTCAACTTACATAAATTCACAGGCTTGATATAATATTCTGCTTCTGCAGCTCTATTGCCACTAAAGGATGCCCACTGAGATCCAAAGATTCTACCTATTTTCATTATTTCAATATCCAGCTTGTCTCTTCGGGGATTTTTTGTGTGCCAATAAATATCAAGTCAATTAGAAAAGAGTTAAAAAGATTTACTTAATCTGTATCTTTTGATACTCCATCCAAAGATAACTGAAATATGGTGACTTATACAATGCCATATTAAAATAGCTAGACTTTAAAAAAAAATTGTGTTGAAACCCTAGATTGTCTTCTAAGCATTACATAGGTGCTGTTAATACAAAATCCAATAGGGTTTTAAAGTAAATATTTCTTAATGAAACTCTGTCTTAAGCACTTAACAGTGAAATGTGATAAAATGTGATGTTTTATGTTACTCCTTCTAATAAGAAGCTAAACATCCATCAAAATCTTGCATTTTTTTCCAGGTATAGCTGCACACACCTGTAATCCCAGCAACTTAGGAGGTTGAGGCAGAAAGCTCCCAAGTTCGAGGGCAGCTTGGGCAACACAATGACATAATCTCCCAAAAGAAAAAAGACTGGGGAATGTAGGTCTGAGGTAGAGCACTTAGCACACGCCTAGCATGCACAAGGCCCTGGGTTCAATCCACCACATACCAAGAGTCTTGTATTTTTACATTTTAAGTAGATTAAAACTCATGAACTAATAGTTTTATCAAGTGATGAAAATTTTACTACCTTGTTCTATAAGTTTAGCAAAATGTTATTCCTTATTTTATCATGTCAATTGTAACATATAATACTGATATTTTTTGCCCTTGTAAGTATTTCATGGTTGAAAATGATCTATTATTTTAACTAAAAAGTATTATGAAAAATTCTGATGGTACATTCTAAATGTTTCTGCTTTATTAACACCGATAAAATTCTCATTTTTGAACTTTAAATGCTTCACTAAGTGAAACTGACTCATTAGTTTTTTTCCCTCATTGATGACAACACACTTTTCCTTAACTTGCGCCATAAACTTTCACAAAACATGATTGCTACAAGATTAAAAATGTAAAGGTTTAGCACTTTCAAATTTTAATGATACAACTGTTGAGCACCATTCGCACCTGACAATATGGCACTAGCAATAATAAGGCAGTCATTATTTTTTTCTTGTAATAATCAAGCTGTTTTCCATTCCATAAATACAAATTATGTTTAATTTTGTATTCACTGTTGCACAGTATCAGAAGATGTTCCAAGCTGCAGTTCATTATTAATATCATTTCTTCTTTGTATTCCTGCAGATTCAGAAGATTCATATTTATGATGTTTAAAAAGAATGTTAAGAAATGTATTAAAACTTTCTTATCCTTTCATTCTTGGTGTTCTATTTAATATTTTATTATAAAATTATTAAATTTATCAATACCCAAATTCTACATTATGACTAATGACATAAAAATCATACACAAGAATAAAACAAAAGTGACTACTAGTTATAAAGAGCAAGTTAACAATAAAAATAAAATATAAACTATTTGGACGTAATAACTGCTTCATAACTCACACTCGACAATAAACCAGTCATTCTTATAAAGGATAATTGAAACTATTCTAGTTAGTTTATCAACTGCTAAGAAAGTTTCTCAAACTTTTAGCAACCAGATATTGGTTTTTATTGGTTAAACATCAGTCCCATATATTAGTGTTGTATCCTCAATACCAGCTTGGAATGCATTTTCCCAAATACACAGATTAGACTAATTTTACACTACATTTTTCTCAAAACCACAAACTTTTTTAAAGATGTAAAATATCACTTTATAAGATCACATTCTGAAATAATGTAAATTCTCCCAACTTAAAAAATTCATCCAGACCCACATCATTTAAAAACTACCAGGGAAAGTGATTTATTTGTAAATTGTGTCTATGCTATTGCTAAATAACCTGAGCCACTTCAATAAACTGAAAAGTTCACTATTTTTTCAGGATTAGTTTTTAATTCAAGATCTTAAGGAAACAAATTCTTCAGGGATGCTTATTTATAACATATAGTAAGACAATACATGGAAGACTCTTCAACACAGCCAAGGTAAAGCAACATAGACCATTAGGAATTAGAAATATTTGAGTTTCCATCTTTGTCATGGTCCATAAACCCTCACCATATCTCAGCATCAGCCTTTATATACAACAAATACTTTTTAACTGGTACAAATATATACCTGGTACAAATTAAATATCCGGTAAACATATTTTAGAAGCAAAAAGTAGTTTTTTTTCTTTAAAGCTCCTTTTGATGGGTACTATTTTAATTTATTCTTTACCAATAAATTTTATTCAAATAATCTAATTTCAAGTGGCAAAATTATATTGGGCTAGATAACACAGCTATCAATTGTTTCAATAGCACAAATTTTGCCCAACAAAATAAGCATTGTGCCTAAAACAAAGGGCAAAAAAGAAAAATAAACCACATCAAAATCAATTTTACAATTCCATAAAAGAAAATTGATAACAGAAGAAGGAAGTATATAGGGCCTTCAGAGAAAAGTGAAGCCATGAATGGAAGAGGCACTGATTCTATCTTGCTTTTAACTGACAAAAATTTAAGCAAAAACAATGGCTATGGAGAGAAGGAAGAAGAGTAAAGGGAGAAGCCTTTAAATTTTATAATATGCCCTTGATTGCATATTCTAATACTATGGTAATCTCCAAATACTAAGATATAGAGAAACACATAATAGATTCTATTCTTTTGGGAGGAAATCCACCGGGTACAGCTAGCAGGCAAAACTGCCCCCCCAAAACATCAGTATATTAAGGAGTTCTGATAGGCTACTGAGAAAGAACAGACTACCAAGAAGAGTATGAGAAAATACTCTCCCTAAACTGTGAAGCTTCTATGATAAATAAACCAAGAAGTCTAAGCACAAATTCTCTATAAGGGAGAATACAGTCTATAAAATTTTCCTTCTATTATCCTATATTCCCTACCATCAGAAATCTATAGATTTCTTAGTAGTTACAATGACAACAACTGAATATGATGCAAAATAGATATTACTTTTACATGAGGACTTCAAATTTCTTTACCACTTTTATTTAAAATTTTGAAATTTATTTGCTCCACTGATTAAGATTTTTAAAAAATGATAAAATTTGATTAAAAAAAATAAAAGAAAAACAACAAAAACTCTCCACATACCTGGCAAGTCTGATGACATGCTTGATATTGGCGTGTGGTGGAATGGTACTGAGTAGTCTGTTAATGAAGGCGGAATAGCAGCAGGATCAACCGAAGTCACACTGGGCACCCTTACAGAAGATGGCTGATACATGAGAACCCTGTTTTAAATAGCATGGGAAATTACAAACAATCTGGCTGTTAGTTCACAGGAGAGAAGAGCTGAACCACTGGGCATTCTCAGATGTACGTTCACTAAGTCTTAGCACAATTATATGGCAACTACTCACTACACAGTACTCCACACTCTTACTCTCCTCTTTCATAACAGTCTTCATTTTAGCATGAATGTATCCTGGCTCTTAACAGCAGCTATGATGTAAGAGCAAGCTGGCATTAAAAACATGATGCACTGCTGGGGTAAGATATATAACACTTTCATTCCACAAAAAGAAATGTGTTTGACATATGCTTTTATTAATGTAAATGTAACATGCATGTGGCTATTAGTAATTCATCTCTAAAAAAATTTAAAAATAAAACAGAGAACTCATAAGATTTGACTTTAATCAGGACACTTTTATGAGCAAAGCAACTCATAGTAGCTCAACCAGAATTTCTTCAATTCTAACTTGTATTAATTTATTCAAATATTATCTGGGAATGCTCCGAGCAAAGCTGATCAACAAGATAGCAGTAGGGCAAAATCCAGTATCAGGATAAGAGGAGCAGTATTCAGAATTCAGGATACGATATTCAGAAATAAAAAAGCCGACTATCATGATGTTACCTATTTTTCTATAAGAATTTTTGACTTTTAAAGTAGCTGTTCATGCTACTAAAAATACAACTAAAACACATAAAAATATTTTATAATTTAGTATTATAAATATACACTATATAACTAAAGCTTTGTAATTTCAAGAAACAATATAATTAAAAATTAAACATATTTTTGAAAAAGTTCAGACTTGAAGAAAGATGACTGTACTTTTCTATTTAACCTGCATTTTCTCTTTCTCTTAACCCAGGGTAAACAACTAGAACTGCCTAAGAAAAACATTTTGAATGTTTATGAGAAGCTAAGCAACATTACTGACCCTGTTGGCCATCGCGCCAACAAATAATGAGATACAAGAACAGTGCAAAACATTTAAGGTGAGCATCCCAAAGCATTGCTGGTTAACTTCATGAGTGAGGCTGAAAGAAACCATTACAAAGATGAATAAAGCACAATCTTCTTAGAAACTAAAAGTAGGACCATGGTGACAAAGCTGGCAGGGATGAAAACTTGGGACCTCTAGATGTCCATTCTCTAGATTAAAATATTTTCTGTTATCATTCAGATTATTAAGATTATTAAGTGCTGGTAATGAGAACCACCTATTTGCATGATATTCTTCATACTCTGGTAAATAAATCATGTTAGGAAATAGTTTACCCACTTAAATAATCAGAAGCTACTTAGAGTCCTTCTAAGACTGGTTTGTGTTATACCATAAGGACCTTGTCTAGCTGTTATTCCATATTACTTGTTGAAAACACAAACTGAAAATGTGGAAAACAAAGTCATTTTCAGAGTACATATATATAGTTGTGTTGGCAACTACATTATTCTCAGAAAAATCAACAAAAGTCGTAGTTCAGAAACTTTAGATTATAAATTGATCGATTCAAGGGGCATATGGAATATAATATGCTTGACATGAAAACATAAGCCTGGAACTTCAAAACACGTTTTCCAGAGTTAGAGGGAAGTCATTCCAAAGATAATCTGCCTTAGGAAAGAATCAAGAAGTTCCTTAGTCTCCAACAGAACCTGAAGAACTAGAGCCACAAACAGGATATGAATGATATTATAAAAGAATCTAGAGGAATAAATGAAAAACTTGGTAATAAATACGAGAAGAGAAAATAACCAAAAGTGTTTTCATACACTAGCCTACCCACTCCACCACCAGGAGTGCAAATCAGAAGGAAGAACAGAGAAGGTTAAGAAAGAGGAAGAGACCAGATATGCCTTAGTGCTGGGGAGGAATCTATATAAAAAAAAAAAAGTTCTGATTATTATGGTTGCCTCTCAGTATTAATATCTCGATCCTACTTTTTCTCAAAATATAAGAGGGAAAACTTTCAATGACAAAAACAAAACAAAACAAAACAAAACAAAAACCCCAAAATACTTCCCACAAATATAAAAACGTTTCATTTAGTTTAAAAATTCCTACTTAAAGGAACATTGAACCTATTATCTTTTCTCTGCCCCTGAAGGAAACTAAAAGGAGAATTTCAAGGGCTACTACAGTTCTATGGTAAAGCTCCAGCTTAGAATATGCAAGGTTCCGGGTTAAATCCCCAGTAGCACAAAAAAAAAAAAAAAAAGAATTTTAGGTTGATAAGAAAAAGATAATGCCTTTCTTCCTACCACTTACCCTTTTCTTCCTTTGAGATGTCACCAGAGATTTTCTTTTGTCTTGATCCTATATTACAGAAATCAGCAACCCAACTCTTTCCTTCCCCAACCACTGATTTTATATCTAAAGAGCAGACAAGTAAGCATCCCTGTGCTCTATCATCACAGGAACACTAATTATTGCACATATCCCATTTACATAACAAGAAACCTTAAATAATTAAATAACTATTCATGCTTCTGCCATAACAAAATATTGACTTGTCAAACATGAAAATGCAAAATCTAATGGAAGTAAAAACTATTAAATCAACTTCTAAAACCATATGAAAAGTTAAAACATTTTAGTGTTGACTAATTCCTATTACCTGAACTTTGTAAGCATTAACACAAATTCAACTTTATATAAAATGGGTGTAAATAGACATTAGGGTATCAAATTAGAGACTGGTAGTACATCTTGCTTTCATCAAATCTTCACCATGACTATAATCAGAAACATAAAATGATTCTAAAACCTATGTGAAAAATACATGTATTTATAGATATAAATAACAGGTTCCATAGATATGTAAATGACTGTTTTTATGAAATTATGGGTATACAAATGTGACACCATGAAGTAACAGATTTTTAAATAGTCTTTAAAATTTGCTATGGTCCAGTATGGGGATTCTTTGGAAAACTTGGAATGGAATCACCAATTGACCCAGCTATCCTACTCCTCAGTTTATACCCAAAGGACTTAAAACAGCATACTACAGGGACACAGCCATATCAATGTTTTTAAAGCAGCACAATTCATAATAGCTAAATTGTGGAACCAACCCAGATGCCCTTCAGTAGATGAATGAAGAGGGAAACTTTAGAATATATACACAATGGAACATTACTCAGCATTAAGAGAGAATAAAACATGGCATTTGCAGGTAAATGGATGGAACTGGAGAATATAATGCCAAGTGAAGTAAGCCAATACCCCAAAACCAAAGGCAGAATGATTTCTTTGATATGAGGATGCTGACTTATAATGGCAATGGGGGGGGGGGGCATGGGAAGAATGGAGGAACTCAGAATAGGGCAAAGGGTAGGGAGGGGAAGGGAGGGAACAAGGGGGTAGGAATGATGGTGAATTTTGAGTTAGACATCATTACCCTAAGTAATTGTGCTCTATATATGTAAAATGAAATGAATTGCATTCTGCCATTGTGTGTAACAAATTAGAATAAATAAGTTTTTAAAAAATTTGCTATGGACACTTCTTGGGTAGGCAATGACACATTAGGCACAGTATGTATTATGCAAGTGTACATATTCATTTTAAATTTTTTAAACTTTATCCACTATACCACAACACAAAAGTAAACTGCTAGGCTGCTGTTAGATAGTAAATCCTAGCATTCCGGATCATGTATTACATACATGGAATTCATACCTGTCTCAGACACAGATATCTGAAAATGAGTTTTCTGGGTTTTTTTTTTCCTTTTTTTATGGGGGGGTGGTGGTGGTACAGGGCTGAACCCAGGGGTGCTTACCTCTGAGCAACATCCCAGCCCTTTTTACTTATTTTCAGAGAGGGTCTCACTAAGTTGCAAGGCTTGGCATCAAACTTGGGATACTCCTGCCTATCCTCCCAAGGGCTGGAATTACAGATATGCACCACCATGCCTGGCTGAGCTGATTTTTATTCATATACCTGAAGCTCACCATGCACTCCCACTTTATGATCATAAAGGAATAAAGATTTAAATTTGCTACCAATTCTTAATACTTCTTAATACACATTTTATTCCTATTATTACATACACATTTTATTCCTATTATTTCCTGTCTCCTTATTAAAACCAAGCCAACCATTCAATTTTGGAGGGACAGAAGCATCAAATGCAAAATATCTCAATATAGAAGAACTTAAGTTTTCTAAATGTTTTATATGGTACCAGTTGCTTCCAACAAGAATTATAAAACTACATTTAAAACCCTGTGGTGGAGCATGCCTGTAATCCCAGCAGCTCGGGAGGCCGAAGCAGGAGGATTGCAAGTTCAAAGCCAGCCTCAGCAACTTAGCAAGGCCCTAAGCAATAAGGTCCTGTCTCAAAAACAAAACAAAACAGCCTGTGGATGAGCTTGGTGACTAAGTGTCCCTGGGTTCAATCCCTGATAAAAATCAATCAATCAATCTCCATGAGGTAAGCAAAGAAAAGGGCTAGGATGTCAACAAAATGATAACAGAAGTTCTTTCTACATGACAGACCTTTTACTTTCTTCTCAGTGCTCTATAAAATTGTTTATAAGAATTAATTTTACTAAAACAATATGCTTTTTAAAAAACAGTTCATATAATTTCTGGACTATAAGTCAAAATTAAGTTTTCTGCATCTCTCATCTATTCTTTCATTTGCTTACTGTCATCGGTTATGAGGTTCATTCATTCATTCACAGCTGAGGAAAACCACCGAAATTCTCAATTGAGACATAAGGAAAGATATGAAAAGAATGATGAGAAACAAAACCCCCAAAGCCCAAGAGTAGGAAAGGATTACAGAGAGGATATAACCATAGTATTAAGCCTACACTCGGATATTTTGATAGATGGTGTGCACTCTGTCTTAACAAAGAAAAATGTGATAGCACAAAACATCAACTATTTGTGTTCAGAAAGTTCCAATACAAAGTTTTTCCATGCATCTCTCATTTGACCTAAATCCACTGAATGTTATAACAAAGAGTAAAAATGAAGTTAGTGAATAGTTCCCTTTTAAGAACTAGGAGGTGGCTGTAACATAGACTCTTCTCCTGGCTTAATACCTTCATCTATTGTGTTCCAGGTTCCATCACCCACACCTTCCTATTCATCCTGCCTGGCTGCCTTCATTTCTTAATACATTTCTTGATGATCATCTCTAAAATTGTCTTAAATAGAGCTGCATAACCTAAAATGGAACAAAACTGCTATCGTACATATTCTGGACACTATTTTTATTAGTGCTATCTAAGAACAAAGAACAAATCAGCTTAAGCAGTAAGTTCTTTAAACCATTAAGTGAATTCTGACATTAAAAAAAAAAAAATAGCATTTACTAAATGCCTTTCAGACATCTTAAGACTATATAGCTGTCCTAATGACAAAATTCACTTTATTATTTCCTAATATTAAAGCACTCCTAGAATAAGCTCTACTTGGTCATAATGGATGTCATTTTAATGCATAATTATAAGACTTCCTAAAATTAAGTTCAGAATTTTCACTTATCTTTCCATGTGAACCTATTCTTCTATATGGTGATAACCTAATTTGGGTATTGAGGGTTATGCTGATTTCATGGAAGGAGCTGGGTAGCTGAAATTCATACAAAATTCTTAAAACTAAACTGCCATATGTTGATTTAATCATATACTTTCACCTTACACTAACCAGAGTTAGTTATGACCTTCTTTTCAACTTAGATGAGGGGTCTTAATATTTATCTCTATAGTAGCTGACCACAGGTATAAACTACCTTTATTCCTTTGCATTTTGTGGTCACTTCAGATTTTGTTACCCAATGTATATGTCATTCCTCCAGTGTCATGTCCCTATCAAGTACTGATAAAATGTGGTACAGAATACTCAAAGGATTAGACCCTTGTGGCATGCCACCAGCAACTCTCTACAACCACATTAACTCATGAGCCAGCATCAATGCATATCTTTAAAAATATGCATTTATGAATTCATTCAAGGAATAACTCCAACTTAAACAGCTTCTGCAACTCATCTTTCCAGCATATTCTAAATGATATCATGAGAAAGTAATATGTAGAAATACCATACCTAAGCATTCATTTTTCTGATTCTACACCTCAGTAAACACTTCAAAAGTATATTTTCACTTTTTGTCATTCAAATTATAGAAATGCCAAACAAAATCCCTCAAAGGAGCAATAAGTGATCAGCATGGCAGAAGAAATCCAGATCAATTACTTTCATCTTTTTCTATTCCACTAAAAAAAAGCATTCTAAAAATACAAGCCTTTAGATATATAAATCATATCTGAAAATATAAGTATTTTACAAGGAAGAACAAAAGTTTAGTTCTTAAAAGTAACTTTAAAAAGTATTCCGAATGTAAGTTTTTAAAAAGTTACAAAAAAGAATGCTGTTAAAGTGTACTGAGTGTAATTCCATTTATAAAAAAAAGTCTAAAACAGGTAAATTAGGAGATAAAAATGGTTACCTAATTCTGGAGTGTGTATAGGAATAACCTGCAAAGGAATATGATGTTTTTTGGGTGTTGGAAATATTCTGCAACTGACTTGTGATGATGGTTATAGAACTCTATGAATTTAATAAAAAGGAATTAATTGTGCTATTCTATACTCAGGATGAGTGGACTTTATGGCATGTAAAAAAACCATCAGAAAAAAATAAAGACTGAGAAGCCAGCACTTCGAAGTTTGAAAAAAATGTGTGATGGAATGGTGAAGAGAATCCATTACACCTTCCAAAATCTCTGAGAAGCATCTATCATTAAACACTCAGACCCATTTTTCCTTCAAATTGGAATGGTTTCTGCCAGATGAGTCACAGAAAGTGCATAAAAAATGCACTATTTGCTCTCATTTTACCCTGGAGTGGGAGAAAAGGTAAGGGAATCAATTCTCATTGAGTAACTATTATGTGCCTGACAACAAAAGTTAAGTTCTTTCATTATCTCATTGTAACCTGATATCAATCCCATAAAGTAGGCATTATTTCATCCCATTTTACAGAACAGAAAAAGGTGGCTCAACTTAAGGATTTCAACCAAAACCACAGAGCAAAGAAGCAAGTGCCAGAATTGATATTTGTTCTTAGAAGATTTCCAATTCCACACTCTATTACACCAGGCTTCCTCACAATGGCCTGAGACATGAAAAAAAGGTTCCTCACAAAAAAAGATTTAAGAAATGACTTTCTCAATAGAACCCCTAAAGCTCAGGAAGTAATGTCATAAGTTAACAAGTGGAATGGCATCAAGTTAAAAAACTTATGCACAGTTAAAGAAATAATTAGGAATGTGAAGACAGAACCAACAGAAAGGCAGACAATCTTGCTATTCTTCTGACAGAGCATTATTATCTAGAATATATAAAAACTCAAAAAAATTTATACACACAAAAAAATCAAATAACCCAATTAATAAATAGGCAAATGAACTAAACAGACACTTCTCAAAAAAAAAAAAAAAAAAAAAAAGAAACAAATATAGGAGGAAATGTTCAATATCATTAGCAATTAGGAAAATGCAAATCAAAACTACAGTAGAGACTTCATTTCACACCAGTCAGAATGACAGGTCATCAAGAATACAAACAATAATGAATACTGGAGAGGATATGGACAAAAGGGAACACTTTTAAACTGTTGCTGGGGCTATATATTGGTACAATAGCTATGGAGTACCAATATGGAGGTTCCTCAAAAGGCAAAAAATGGAACCATCACAGGACCCAGCTACACCACTCCTCAGCCCTTATCCTAGAGAATTAAAGTCATCATACTATGGTAATACATGCTTACCCATGTTTATAGCTGCACAAGTCACAACAGCCAAACTATGGTATCAGTCTAGGTGCCCATCAACAAATGGCCAGATTAAAAAAAACAAAAAAAACCAAATGTGGTATATACACATAATGGAGTTTTATTTCTTATTTCATAAAGAAAAATGAAATAAGTCATTTGTAGAAAAATGGATGGAACTCACAACCATTATGTTAAGTGAAAAAAGCCAAAGTGGGAAGGTCATGGGTTGTACATTTTATCATATGTGGGAGGTCAAGAGGAAAAAGAAAAAGATGAGCATGGGGTGGGGAGCAGTGAACTTATGAAAATCAAGGAGAGATGAGTAGAAGAAAGGGGAAAAAAGGGACCACTGGGTAGGAGGGAGGGAAAGGAGGAGGAAGTGCTGGGGAGTGATACTGTATAAATTATATTGTTATACCAAGTGTGCATGTACGAATATGTAACAATAAAAGCCATCATTACATATAACTATAATGCACCAATTAAAAAAAATTAGAGAAAAAAATTTGTAGTAAAAAAAATTCAATAAAATAACAAAGGGTATCATATATGAAATAAATACCTCAGTCTCACTTCTCAGATATGTGAATATTTTCTTCAACAAAATTTGCTTTCCTATAAACAATATATTTTCTTGAAAATAATTCAACTAAACAAAAGCAAATTAAAATTGCCTTCTACGGTTATGCAACTTCCCAAAGAGATATTTACAAATCTATCCTAAGAACAATTAGTGGCAAGGGTAATGAACAATAGTGAACTATAAATTAACAAACCCTTTGGTTGGGCTGCTTTGTGTTTCTGACATAAAGATGCATTTCCTTTTGGCAGGAGGTTCTTCATCTTCATCAGAAGAGCTTTCTATTGTTAGGTCAATAACATCCACTTTCTTCTTGCTTGCCTCACTGGCTACAGTCACTGAACAAGGCTTACTGAGTACACTTGAAGCTGGATGCAGAAAAAGAGAAGGAAAATAAAAACATCAATGGTATAACACAAACTCTATCCGTGACAGTCTTAACTATATAGTAAAGGATGATAACACACAGCCAGGGAAGCTACATACTCTATCCAACTTACAGAGTTCAGTTCCCTAACTCCAGATATCTGTGAAATAGCTGCTAACCTGGAGAGGCAACATGAGCATTACTCTTTGACAGAGGTCAAAGAGGTAACTGGACTCCTGCTGCTGCTCATGTGGTATTCCCAGGTAAGCAGTCATAGTACAGAGAGACTCAGAGGTTAGGAAACTGTTCAAAGTATGTTTCACCAGTTGCATATTCACAGATTCGTGGCCCAGTTAAGTCAGAATCGGGTATTTCCATTCAAACAATCACGTTCATACTAAACAATTTATAGACTCATCATGAGCCAAAAACTTGATAAAAATCGTCAACTTGATAAACAGAAAAAAATCCCAAACTTGTCCGAGTGATTTAGACATTTAAAATTTTCTTATGAATCCTCTATTAATCATCAAGGTTCTTTTGGCCCATTAGGATAGTCTAATACATTATATATCAACTCATATTTTAATATAAAAGTATTATTCTTAAACTCTGTTTAGTAAAAAATGAATGTTAGTTTATAAAGGAAAAAGCATCAGTAACTATCAATTAAATCACTCCCATTCTTCTCAAAGATAAGGGAAACCTTGGCCATTGCACTCTTCCCACTACAGGGAAATAACTAATATTAGTAAAACTCCTTTAGTTTTTCTTCTCTTTGTACTCTGATGCAATCCCTGAATTCCACCTGAGGTTTTACCTACAGAAACTCTCAAAAGAATTCTAAAAAACTGTATGTCATTTTCTAACTTTTCATTCTATAGGTAACATTTTGTAATTTATTAAAATTATTAGTGACTTATTTATTTTGCATATGAAAACTACACAATGAAAAGATGGTATTAAACTTTCTGCATATCTCATAAGAAATTACATGTGATAGATGATCAAAAGATAAAACTTAGGGCTGGGTTGTAGCTCAGTAGTAGAACGCTTGCCTGGTGTGTATGAGGCACTGGGTTCGATCCTCAGCACTGCATATAAATAAATTAACAAAATAAAGGTATTGTGTCCATGTACAACTAAAAAAAATTAAAAGATAAAACTTAGTGAACTGAAATCCAAAATTAGGTCTAGCAGTCAAGGTTCATTAAAAAGACAATGTTGTACAAATCTCCTGGCTTTGCTCTCTGATGGCATTGTGCACATACTTTCTATTTTTGTACATGGCTGGCTGGAAACTTTCATAGCTTCTTTCTTCGGTCTCATTGGACACCAAGAACCATCTTCTTGGAATTTTATTTCATCCACATCAGAACAGTCATTGAGAATTTCCATAAAAAGCCTGAAAACCAATTAAGAAGTACATACATGTCAATGGCTCTGTTCAAATATTAAGTATATAGTGTACAATAGAAGCTCTGCCTATTAAAGATTTTGGATTTATAGTTAAAAATCTTATCAGTAAAACTCACAAACTTCTATCAGATTTATTTAAATTCACTCAACAAGAAAAAGTAATGTTTTCTGACTTTTTTTTTAATATTTCAATACTTAACACTTCATAGCAACTATTATGCCCTTTTCCTCCAAGGATTGATTATTTACTTATTTTTAAAGTATTTGTTTATTAATTCATTTATTTTTTTTATGTTACTGGGGATTCAACCTAGAACCTCATCCTTGCTAGGCAAGTGTTTTACCACTGAGCTAATCATGAGCCAAGTTTTAGGTGTGTAATAGGCAATGAGTATTGCCTAATGATCTAAAATATCAATGATTTAAAATATCAGTGACTAAAACAGAAATAGACATCTAGAGTCTCCTAGCTATAAGTGGCCTTAAAGAACAACCTCAAATACAGCTTATAAAACAAACATGAGTAGACAAAGGCTATTATACAATAAAATAATTTATAAGCTTTAATATCAAGAAAAAAGGAAAACAGGTGAGAAGAGGAAGAAAGGCAATAAAGTCTTAATAAATTTCAAATAATTCAACGCATACATTATTTTCTGTGACTAAAGTGGAAATAAAATTGAAGTCAGAATTAGAAAAATATCTGGAAAATTCTCAATATTTATAAACTAAATGCTCTGTAAGATATGAAAAATAAAAATAAAAATTGTAAAGTATTATGAACAGAATGAAAATACAATAAAATTTGTGAATTATAGCTACAGTAGTAATAAACAGAAAATAGCACTTATACCCCCCTTTTTAGAAATGGTTTCAGTCCAAAAACTTTATTTGATAAACTGAAAATTATAGTTAAGCAAAAATAAATATTTCAAAAGGGAAATAAAAAACAGAGATGAAATAAATAAAATAGAAAAAACAATCAATGAAACCAAAGGCTGATTTTCTGAACAGATCAGTAAAACTCACAAACTTCTATCAGATTTATTTAAATTCACTCAACAAGAAATAGTAACCTCAGAAGCTCTGCCTATTAAAGATTTTAGATTTGTAGTTAAAAATCTTATCACAAAGAAGATTCTAGACACAAAAGTAAGAAGCACAACTGTCTTGTAGAAAATCCAATGTAGGGGCTGGGTTTGTGGCTCAGTGGTAGAGTGCTTGCCTAGCATGCACGAGGCCCAGGGTTCCATCTTCAGCATCACATAAATGCAAAATAAAGATATTGTATATCCACCTAAAACTTAAGAATAAATATAAAAAAAGAAAGAAAGAAAATCCAATGTAAACTTCAATAAAGTTCTTGGAAATATTGAGTTCAAGATATGAAAGCAATATAAAGAAATCAATTATGTTTCTAATATTAAGAATAAATAGAATTAAAAAAATCAGAAGCCTGTGTCCACAATATAAAATATTTAGGGATAAATTTGATAAAAGATGTAGAAGATAGACTGAAAACTACATTACTGAAAAATAGATCTATCACGTTCATGTATCAGAAACCTCAATATTGTTGATCAGGACAATACAAATCAAAATCCCAGGTTTTTTCCAGGAAAAAAAAAAAGTTGGAAAATTCATACTACCTAATTTCCAGAGAGTGTAGTACTAATACAGATATAGAAAAATAAATCAACAGAACAGAGTCCAAGATAGATTCACACACATATGATCAACTGATTTTTGGGGAAGACAATTAAATTAAAAAAAAAAAAAAAACCTATGATGGGAGAACAATCATATGGCTATATACCAAAAAGTAGTAATAATAAACCTCGATCTTTTTCTTAAATTCATGTAGATAGATCTAAATATAAAAGTAAGTTTAAAAATTCTTGAGAAAGCGTTAGACAAAATTTTTGTGGCCTTCAGTTAGAGGGAAATGTGATATCAAAAGTACAATCCGTAAAAGAAAAACTTGTTAAATTGGCCTTCCTAGAAGTTAAGAACTTCTGCTATTTGATAGATACTGAAAAAACAGGTTAAAAAGATGAAAAAAATGGTAGAAAATAGTTGCGAACAGATTTGCATCCAGAATTTATAAAGAATCATCAAAACTTAGTAATATGAAAACAATCAATTCAAAAAATAGGCAAAATTAAAACAGTCACTTCAAGGAAAGTGTCAGATGGAGAATTAATACACAAATAGATCAACACAACTAGCAATAGAAAATGCAAATTAAATTCACAATGGGATACCACTATATATGGCTACAGGCTATAGCAAAAATCAAAGATTAGTCATACAAATGTTGGTGAGAATGTGAAATCAACTACAATTCTCACATACTGCTAATCAGAATATAAAATATGACAACCATTTTAGAAAACAGTTCAGCGGTTTCTTAGACATATGCCTAGAATGCAACCAGGTATTTCATTCCTAAGCATTTATCCAAGATAAACGAAAATATTCATCTACACAATGAATGAATATCCACAGATGCTGTATTTGCCATAATTCAAAACCAGAAACAATTCCAAAACATGTGAAAAGTTAAACTATGATATCCCTATACTACAAATGAAATGCAATTCAGTGAACTATGTACTAAAGGTGAACTGTTGTCGGGCGTGGTAGTGCATGCTTGTAATCCCAAAGGCTGAGGTAAGAGGATTGAGTTCAAGGCCAGTCTTAGCAACTTGGTGAGGCCCTAAGCAAAACAGCAAAACCTTCCCTGTAAATAAGATATAAAAAGGGACTGGGGATGTGGATCAGTGGTTAAGTGCCTCTGGGTTCAATTCCTGGTACCCACCCTCCCCAAATATCAACTGTTGGTACACACAGAAAAGTGGATGAATTTCAAATAAGTATGCTGAGTAAAAGAAGCTAAACAAAGGAAACTACTGTACAGAAACAGAAAGCATATCATGTCTGCCTGAGGACTGAATAAAAGGGAAAGATCACAAAGATATATAGTGTGATGGATATATTCATTATCTTAATTGGAGTGAAGAGTTTACATACATATATGTCAAAATTTAGCAAACTGTGTATGTTATATATATGTAGTTCTTATACCTCAATACAGCTGATATAAATGGGGGAGAAAAGAATGCCTCCTTCATGAGCCATTTATTTGCCTTAATCATACTGAACTATAAGAATGGAGTGATGATGCTGGTAGTAACTACCACAAAAGTACAAGGAAGAGCTAACTGCTGTTCAATAAATGTCGAAACTATTAACAATGAGTGGCAGGATGGTAGGATACGTAACCCTAATAGCATCACCTACTCTCTACCATAAACTGCACTCTACCATAAAAGTTCCTCCCCGGCTGGGCAAGGTGGCACAAGCTTGTAATTCTAGTGGCTCAGGAGGCTGAGGCAAGAGTATTGCAAGTTCAAAGCCAGCCTCAGCAATGGCAAGGCACTAAGCAATTCAGTGAGACCCTGTTTTTAAATAAAAATACAATAATAGGACCGGGGATGTGACTCACTAATTGAGTGTCCTTGAGTTCAATCCCTAGTACCTAAATAAAGAAAAAAAAAATATCATCTTCCCCATTCCAATATTCCTGACGCAGTACAGTTCTTTGTCTCCATAGCATTTAATATGCAACATCTACAGATAATAGGTATTTGGCAAATATGCTTAATAAATTCTTGAAGGAATACACAACAAAATGAAGAACTGCATGATTGAAAATGATTGAAAAACAGATGAAAAACAAGTGAATGATTATTTAAAATCTCTAGGACTTCTTAAATGCATTAAGGACAGAAATTCAAAAGGAACATCCTTGATGAAACAAAAATGTGAAACTTCTAAATGAAAAATAATTATAATAAGTACAATTAAAAGGTAAACAGACTAGGAAAACACATTTGGCACATATAAACAATGAAATACTCTTACTATATGATGACCACTTACAAATCAGTAAGAAAAAAAGATGAACAGTCCTAGAAAAGAAAGGAAACCCTAGCAGGTTATTCACAAAAGATATTATAATGATCAACATATGGAATAAATAGGTATCTAATAATTCTAATAATACAAGATGTAGAAATCAAAACAATGAGACATGATTTTCAATCAGGAAATTGGTAGGCATTTTAAAAATAAGATTTAATATGTAAGACTGATAAGAGGGACTAAGAAGTAGGTGATATACCTGCTGGCAAGAGACTAAAATGATTTTACTACTAGTGTAAACAGCTTACTATGAGAGGCATCATAATAATGCTGTCTTAAAGCCATTCACTTTTTGAATCAAGATTTCTGTTTTGGAAATCTTAAGAACTCCATAAACATACACAAAATGTCACCTTCCAAAATGATTATATCACAAGGCAATTTAAAACAGAAAAGTAGAAACAAATAATATCCTAAAATATTAAAATGCAAAAAGACAGGAACATGAAACTCTCAGATGGTTCAAAACAAGTCTACAAATAGTAATAATTCTGTGTGTACCCATTCATGCAACACACCAAAAATGTATATACATACATATATATGAACGGAACGTGAAGAAACAATTGCGGCAGAAGGTTAACAACTGATGCATCTGGGTCAAATCTGATACTGGAGGTTGCACTACTGTTTCCACTTCTTTGCTATTATTTTAAATTCTTTCAAAATAAGCTGAAATTACCACAATAATATCCAGCAAAAAGGAAGTTTAGAGGGAAGGGTGAAAATCACTTTCTCTCACAAGTGCCCCATTATTCTCCAAAGTAAAACATTCTGAAAAGTTTTCACTATATACTGAGTGAAAATCATGTAAGTAAAGTAGGATTTAACTATTTCAATGTAAATTACAAAGTCAACACCACAGGATGAGATTACTGGTTATTTTAATAACTTCATTAATTGTATTTTCTAAATCTTATAGTGGTACATAGATGATGTATTAATTTTTTAAAAGGTCATTCAAAAAAAAAAAAAAAAGAATACCTCACTTATTCAAATTATTTCCTATAATTTTCCATATTCTGACATGCAATATAAGAAATAATGTTTAGAATTTGGGCTCCAGAATCAGAATAACCTGAGTGTGAATTCCAATATGAATCTACCACCTCTGTGACTATCTATCCTGCCACTCTATGGTTTATTTCAAAGACCCTAATTGCTATTATAAGAGATTTTAGGTAAACAAAATGATTTCACTAAGCAGATTTCCCTCTTACCTACAGGCTTTTATAAAAAGATCTTGGGAGGCAAAGACAAAAGGAAACTGTATACCTACTTTCCCCAATACAAATTATATTACAGGTTTGGCATCCCTGATCAAAACTCTGAAACTATTCTGAGGACTAAAAGGACAATCAAAAACTTTCAGTTTTTGGAGCATTTTTGATTTGGGATATTCAGAATAGGAGTGCTCAACTGGAAAAATCTATCCAAGTATTCCAAAGTCTGAAATACTCTAAACTGTAAAACGCTTTGGTCTCAAGCATTTCAGTTAGTGGATACTCAACCTGTAAAAGGAAAACATAAAGAGGGGGCTTAGGGGTTAGGAAAGATGGTGGAATGAGAGGGACATCATTACCCTAAGAACATGTATGAAGACACAAATGGTGTGAGTCTACTTTATGTACAACCAGAGACATGAAAAATTGTGCTGTATATATGTACTATTAATTGAAATGCATTTTGCTGCCATGTATAACAAACTAGAACAAATAAATTAATCAAAAAAACATAAAGCACCAATAACCTGCTTAAAAAGAAGCTATGTGTAATTAAATGTAAAATAGAAAATGCACAAACATCTGAATTTTATGCTAGAGTAGAATTTATAAGGCCATACTAAAGGAAGCCAAAGCCAATAGCTATTAAAAGAGATACAGTGAGCTGGGGGATATAGATCAGTGGTAGAGCTTGTGTATAGCATTCAAGAGGCCATAGGTTGGATCCCTAAGCACCAAAAAAGGGAGTACCAGCCAGGTCACAATGGCTTACACCTATAATCCCAGCAGCCTGGGAGGCTGAAGCAAGATTGTGAGGTCCTAAGCAACTTGGTGAGACTCTGACTCTAAATACAAATACAAAATAGGGCTGGAGATATGGCTCAGTGGCTGAGTGCCCCTGAATTCAATCGCCAGTACCCTCTAAAATGGGAGGGCATATACTTACCCATCTAGTATTAGACTTTCATAGGCAGCTTTTTTGTCACACACAGGACAAATCCAGGTGGGCTTCTTCTCATTCATTTGTAGATAAAGGGCAGCATCAAAGCACTGTAGATGTGTACAAGTCACTGCACGGCATGGGATTGTCAGCCTCATTTTTCCTAACTATAGGACAGGGGATACAACATGGAAAGTTGTTCAAAAAAGAGGACAAAACCTCAAAGGGAACAGAGAAAAAAGTCTCAAGAAGCATCAAAATGAAAATAAAATACAAACCTAAATTTATTACTATTAAATCACTATTTTTTTTTTTTAATTCACAAACTGCTTTGTGGTTTTTGAAAAAACATTTCACTTTTTCAAAATAAGCTACGTATAAATGCACTGGTAGAAAAAGATACAATGAAAAAAATACTTCAACTGGTTCTCAGTTTTCCTATTTAAAGAAACCACTGTATCCATTTCTTACATGTTTTTTCATAGATGTCCTATGCATAAAATAAGTGGATATTTAAGGAAAGTATTTTTCCACAAATGGTGGCATATTTTACACCCACTTCTGCAACTTACCCTGTCACATAATTTGGTGACTATTATACACAAGTCAGTATATATACCATTACACAAAGGCATAATTTATTTAATAAGTACACTAGTGATGGACACTTAAATTGTTTCCAATCTTTGTAGTGAGAAAAGCTAAGTACCTAGGAATTAAATTTTGAGGTCAAAGGGAAAGGAAAGGACTGGGGATACAGCTCAGTTGATAGAGTGCTTGCCTCACATGCACAAAGGCCCTGGGTTCAATCCTCTGCACAACCAAAAAAAAAAGGGGGGGGGGGATAACATGTATGATCTCAGTCCCAATGACAAACGACCTTCCAGAGATACCTACTCACTTATGCACACAATAAATGTTGTTGGTTCCAAGTAACCTTGCCAATACAGTGTTTTGTAATTCTTTGATTTTTATGAAATAAGAAATATTCCAAAAGAGTTGTGAACTGCATTTCTGTTAATTATAAGACGTTGTAGAGCCTCCTCTTCTACTTCTAAGAGTCACCTGTGTTTCTAATAACTATTTATTCATATAAAACCTTTCCTCATTTTTCATTTGATCATTAATGTTGATCATATATTTGTAGGATTTATTTACATGAGACAGATCAGCCTTGTATGTTTGATATAAGCTAAACATACTTTTTATGAAAGTTTAACTATTATATAATCACGTCGATTTTCAATGTACTTTTCTATAATTACATTTTGTTCAACTGCTATTGCAATTGGTTTAGCTGTACTGCACCAACATATACATAATACTCAGATGAGATCAGATTATATTTTTCTATGTAACTCTTAATCTCCCCATATATTTTCTTTACCAAAAGTATCTCCATTTTTAGTCAGCTCTGGTAATTTGGTTCAAAGTGTTTCTCCCACTATAGAGCTCCCACAAGGCCAAGGCCTACATCTGTTGCCCATTGTAATTTCACTGTCCAAGCACAATACTACCTCATAGTAAGTGCTCAGTATTTGCTTATCAGGCAGTAGAATGAATAATTGGAAAGTGGCAAAGAGATATTAAAAAAAGAAAAAACTTCTTTATACGCACTACAAAGTTTGAAAAAATTCAGAAACAAAATCAGAACATTCTTAATACTGCTTGGGTGGTAGAATTTTTAGAATATTCCCTCCTTTCTACTTCATCTATAATTGTCTAAGTGTTCATAAATTTTGTAATTTAAAAATGAAACAATTAGCTAAATCAACATGGCAATAACTAATGCTTACAGAACTTGCCTATGTGCAAGTTACTTTTCACTAATTCCAATAACACTTTTATTTACTATCATTTATTTATGTACTGGGGATTGAATCCAGGGCTTCACACATGCTAGGGAACTCCACCACAGAGCTACATCCCCAATGCTTCTTTCTTCCCTTCAGTTTTATTTTGAGAGAGGATCTAAGTTGCTTAGGTTGGCCTTGAACGTGCAATTCTCCTGCTTCTGTGTAGTTGTTTACAAGTGTGCGTCACTGTATCCAGCCACACTTTTACATTTAAACAATCATACCTTTTACATCTTTAAATATAAAACATTCCCCATTTTAATAATGAGAAAAAACAAAGGCACAAGGAATCAATTTCATATTACATGAAGTTAGAAATAAGGCAGAGCTAAGATCTGGGCTTATTACAAGCCATCCTTGTTACTGTGCTATACTGCCTCTAGCTATTCATCTAACTAGAATTCTAAAAGGAATCCTAGAAGTTAAATGTTTAAGCAAGCATGCAGTACACTATAACTCAGCATTGAGAAAAGAAAACAGAATAAAACCTGAGGAAACTTCTCCTCTTACTCTACATACTTCCATATTTTTTCTTCTTTTAAAACAGATTATTCCTTAAGTTACCTAGAATCTTCCAATATGCTAAGAGTTTTTATAGAAACCTCCTATAATACTCATAATCCTATGACCCAGAGAAGTTGGCATCTCTATTTTTAATTTGTGTCGAAGATGCAGATGCTCAAGAAGCTAAAATAACTTACCCGCTGAGACACAGCTGATATTACAACACAAATCCTAATGCTCCTCACTGCCTTGAGATGTCCCTAGCTTTATAACATTACACATGTTTGGGGGTTTAACCATCAATTTTTCCTATTTTGCTAAGCTTTTGATGTATTAGGAATAGATACTAACTATCTGACATTCTATGAGATGATCATGGGCTTATAAAAAAAATTCCTTTCAATTATAAGATGAATAGTTTTAACAGATTTTTCTAAACCCAAACTATATCTGCATTCCTAGTAGACATCCTTTTGTTATCACTTATTATTTAAATAGTATTAGCATAAATATTTTATTTAGGAATTTTCAATCAATTCTTAAATAAAATATTTAGGAATCAATATAAGCAAATAGTCACTAGAACAGGTTGAATAAGTTACACTACACCATTCAACAAAATGCCTATAATGATCTATACATACTAACGTATTTAGGATATACTATTAATTTTAAAATAGCTCAATCGGTAGAGTACTTATCTTCCATGCACAAGGCCCTGGGTTCAATCCCCAGTAACACCACCACCAAAAAAAAAAAAAAAAAAAAAAGACAAGCCGCACAGTATATATAAAACATTTTTTTTTCTAACACGCATATGATTATGAACACAAGAGCTAAATCTAGAAAAAAAATCACATTCCATCAGTAATATTACTTCAAATAGTAGACCTTGACCATTTAAATTTTTTCATTTCTTTACTCTTCCTGTCCCAATTAAATAATTCTATAATTTAAAAATCTCAAGAGGTAAAAAATCAAATCCATCTTTCTTTTCCCCCAGCGACCCAGCACACCTACTCTGCAGGACACACTGAAAATCACTAGCTGATATCACAAGGTAAAACTCCCATATAAATGTCACATATTATTTCCACAAATAAAATTATACATGCTCAATCAGATCCCTCTTCAATAATACTGTGAAACTACCTCCTGCAGGTCCCTAGGACAGAGGTCTTGAGACTTGTTCCCATTTCCCAGACTCACATCTACTCTAAATAATTTCACAAGCTTCTTATGAAATAAAACAAACATTTCTTCCATCACTCTGAGCTATCATTTTCTCCTGTTTTCCCAAATAAACCCAGGGTTCACTCTTTATCCTTCTGAGTAACTAAGACCTTTTTTTTCCTTCTTTATTTCCCATTACTGTACCAAATCCCATGTTATTTCCATAGTTTGCTGGCTGGGACTCCATTCTGCTTTCTCTAACTGATGCTAGAACTGCTCCTTCTTCTAAAACTACTTTAATCTGCTAACATCTGTCAGTTAACTACCCATTAAATCTTATCAAGACATCTGCATTAGATTTTGATTTATACCATATATTACAGTTTAACTACCCAATCTATTTTAATATCACTATGGTCTAAAGAGTACGATCTACTCTTATAAAGCTCTTGAGAACATCAAGAAAGATAAATTCTGAGGAAATGTAGCTCAGAAATAGACCTGTTGTCACTTATAAACAGAGAAAAGGAAACATTTTTTTTATTTTTTATTTTTTTTGAGAGAGAGAAAGAATTTTTAATATTTATTTTTTAGTTTTTGGCGGGCACAACATCTTTGTTTGTATGTGGTGCTGAGGGTCGAACCCGGGCCGCACGCATGCCAGGTGAGCACGCTACCGTTTGAGCCACATCCCCAGCCCAAAAGGAAACATTTAATGAACACAGGATGGGGCCATGGGTGTAGGTCAGAGTACATCCTTACCATGAGTGAAGGCTTGTGTTCAATCTCCAGCACCACAAAAATAAATAAACAGCTATATGATTTGACTTCTTCAAATAATTGAAAAGTTAATTTTCTTAAAATTGTCAACTTTATTAAAGTTGACATATTTAAAATGAACTGCTCCCTATTTTTATATAAAAAGAATACTAACAACTCTTATATACTACTTCTGCTATTAATAAAAGTCTGAGAATCCTTCAGTATGTTTGCCATTGTGTTTTGGTTGTTTTTATGTAGAATGGGCAGTCTGTTTAAAGGAGGGTTAAGGTTCTATGAAAATAAGACTTATTAGAGAAAACAGCATTGTAACACTGTAGAACTCCTTAGGGAAACTGTATAGCAGTACTTACTTTCTGGTAAAATAGCTTGATACATTAAAACATATAGGTTATATATGAGTTCCCTCTCCATACCATGACTGAACTCCTAGAGAGTCTGCAATTAATGCCTGCTAAATATAGTGGGGTCATTAAAAACCATTTAAAAAACTGTCAAAATGCAACTATTTTTAAACAAAAAACAGTAATTTCATTTGTTTTAATCTGGTATCAATTTTAATTTTAATATTAGAAGGAACAAAAAGGTAATGTGGAGACTCTCAAACCCATGTCAGAAGCTTGTGTCAAGCTTATAAAAAGAGGAAGTTAGGGTCCAAGCCACTGTCCACTAGAACCTCTGCCACTACCTCAGGTATCATCCTCCTTTGCTGGGAGTACACAACTTCTGAGTTTCATAGCCACAGAGGGTACCAATTTCTCATCAATCCCCATTTCACTAAATTCTACATTTTTCAATAAAAGGAAATTATTTTAAATTAATGATGATAATAAAATTTCAGGAAAGAAGATAACTGCAAATATCATTTTCCAGGTTAACAGAAGGTACATTTATAATTAGGACATGTATATTTTAGCCCAATTTGGCAGCAGTTATTGGAAAAAAAACTAGAATAACATTCAAAATTTTAATTTTTGTTCTACTACTAAATGTGTGATTTGGGTTGACCAGCCTGTATCTGTCTTGGTTTTCTCATCTACAAAATCACTGAAACTGAGTTGGGGATGTAGCTCAGTGGCAGAGTGCTTGCTTAGCATGTGTGAGGCCTTGGGTTCAATTTCCCCACCACCACACACACACACAAAGTCAGGAAAACTACTCAATATAGGCTTGCTAAAATAGTTAAATAAGAAGCACCAAGTAGGATCTCACTTCTGACACAACTGAATGTCCATTAAAAAAAACAAAACACTTTTCTCACAATGGCGGGGAGTCATCAAATGTCCCCAAAACTACATTATAGATTCCTTATTCTATAAATTTTATCCTAAAATCTTATTGAAAGGTTTTTCTCCCACTAACTTTATAGAGAAACCTTCATCCACCATCCCTGTCCTTTCCCATCTCCTCATATCTGATAAATACAATCTGATGTTTTATCACGGGAGTTGGTTTTATCTCTCAAACTAGTATTAACTTTCCAACAACTCATGGCAAGTCCTCAGCACTTTCATGCTGAATTAGTTCAGTTGGAAACTCATGGGAGGATCTCGGGATCGTTGAGTGATTTCTCTCCTAAATTTCTACATGAGGATACACAAAATTATGTAATTCAAAGTACCTTACAAAGATATCCTAACTTAATAATCCAAGATCATCAATTAGCATTTATTAGGCCCTTGTTATTTTATTAGTATTTTTTCAATACCACGTGTATTCTCACAAAAGGAGCCACCTTTTACGACATGGTTTTTTGTTGTTTGTTGTAGTTTTAGATAGATACCATCCCTTTATTTTATTTTGCTTATTTTGTTAGGCGGTGCTAAGGATCAAGCGTAATACCTCACATGTAAATGCTCTGCCACTGAGTCCCAGCCCTACTATAAGTTTTTTTAGCAGCTATGGATTGTCTACAGTATTAACCATGACAGATTATTCCGAGTCTAATGTTATCTTTCTTCTTTGATCCAATGGCCTTTAAATTTCTTCCTCTATCACTACCTGAAGACTACAAAGAATTATAATGCTTAATCATGTAGATTTCCAAATGGTAAAAAACGGAAGTTCAGACTTCTGTCAAATTACACTCATTCCCACAATTATTTTATAAGGAAATCAATCATTTCTACAAAGTAAAATTACCTAGAATGTTTTGCCAGTTTACTTACAGGGCACATTAAGGATACCCGAAGACTAGTTGTAGCAATTTCACTATCTGGATCTGCAGTAAGTTTTTCTTTAACTAAAAAAAAAACAAAGAAAAAGAAAGAAAAGGAAAAAGAAGAGTGAAATACAATGAAAAGTTTCTAAATAATAGTGAAAATGAGTTGAAATATAAAAATATTTTATTTTAATAATTTCCCAAACACTTCAAATAGGTCAAGAAACACAAAATGTTAAATATTAATGTATTAAATATATAGCCAGACTTCTGGTATTAGGTTAAAGAATTACAAACATGCAAACTTTAGATCAAATGTTTAAGTGAGGTTTTAAGATTTCTTTTTAAAACTAAGACTGATGGTAAAGAAGAGTTACAAAATAGAAAGTTGTTTTTTAAGACTTAAGAACAAAACAACAACTAGCAGAGGAACCTCAAATGCAGCAGTACCCTGAGCGTCAATGCTTTTCTAACAAATTTTAAAAATTTCTTTCTAACACATTTGTATTAAGCTACGCTGATTATTTCTAACAATTACTAAATTTGTAAAGACATAAACAGTCTTATATCTTCTTGTTGAAAAACCTCTACAATGAAAACTAAAGAACACTGAAGAAAGAAACTGAAATAGACCTCAGAAGATGAAAAGACCTCCCATGTTCATTGATAGGCAGAGTTAATAGTTGGCCCTACTACCAAAAGCAGTGTAGAGATTCAATGCAATCCCCATCAAACTACCAATAACATGCTTCACAGTACTAGAAAAAACAGTTCTAAAATTTGGAATAAAACCCAGAATAACAAAGCAACTCTAAGCCAAAAAAGCAATGCTGGAATCATCCCAATACCTATTTCAAATTATTCTACAGAGCTATAATAACAAAAACTGCATGGGACTGGCATAAAAACAGACACAGACTCCCAATTGTACAGAATAAAAGACAGAGACAAACACACCCATTTACAGTCAACCGATCCTTGACAAAAGTGCCAAAAATATACAGTGGGGGTTGGGAGAAACAAATGATGCTCAGAAAACTAGTTATCCATATGCAGACCCTTATATCTCTCACCCTACACAAAAGTCAACTCAAAAGGAAACAAAGACCTAAGAAACCAGAAATTATGCAGCTTCTAGAAGAAAATGTAGGGTCAACATGCCAGCTTTTAGGAATAAGCAATGACTTTCTCAATAGGATCTGTAAAGCTCAGGAAATAATGCTAAGAGTTAACAAACGGGATGGCATCAAATTAAAAAACTTCTGCACAGCCACACACGGCGGTGCATGCCTATAATCCCTGCAGCTTAGAAGGCTGAGGGAGGAGGATTTTTAAGTTCAAAGCCAGCCTCAGCAAAAGCTGAGGTGCTAAGCAACTCAGAGAGACCCTGTCTCTAAATAAAATACAAAGTAGGTCTGGGGATGTGGTTCAGTGGTTGAGTGCCCCGGAGTTCAATAACCCCTAGCACATAAAACACCCCAATGAAAAATCTTCTGCATAGCAAAGGAAACAATTAGGAAGAGAGAACCTACAGAATGAGAGAAAATCTTGCCACTCTTCTGAGAGAGCATTAACAGCTAGAAAATATAAAGAATAACCTCAAAATCAAATAACCCAATTAATAAATGGGCTAATGAGTAGATACTTCTCAAAAGAAATACAAATGGCCAACAAATGTATGAAAAAATGTTCAACATCATTAGTAATTAGGGAAATGCAAATAAAAACTACAGAGGTTTAATCTCACACCAGTCAGAATGGCAGTCATCAAGAATACAAATAATAATAAATGCTGGAGAAGATGTGGAGAAAAAGAAAGACTTTACACTGTTGGTGGGACTGTAAATTGGTACAACCACTATAAAGCACCAGTTCCTCAAAAGGCTAAGAATGGAACCACCATAGGACCCAGCTATACCATTTCTCAGCGTTGATCCTGAAGAATTAAAGTCATCACACGATAGTGATACATGATTACCCATGTTTATAGCTGCACAAGTCACAACAGTCAAACTATGGAACCAGCCTAGGTGGCCATCTATGAATGGACACATAAAGAAAATGTGGTATATACACATAACAAAGTTTTATTCAGCCATAAAGAAAAATGAAATATGTCATTTACAGGAAAAAGGATAGAACTTGAGACCATTGTACTATGCAAAACAAGTCAAAATCAGAAGGTCAAGGGTCATTATGTTTTCTCCTATGTGGAAGTTAGAGAAAAAAGGAAAAGGTGGCAGGGATTCTCATAAAAATCTGAGGGAGATGAGTAGAGGAAAAGGACTAGGGTGTGGGAGAATAGGTGGAAAGAGGGAAGTGATAGGGAGTGATACTGGACAAATTGTTATATTGTGTGCATGTATGAATATGTAACAACAAATCCCATTATTATGTACAACTATTATGTTCCAATAATAAATATGGAGAAAACTATCTCATCTGACAACTGAAAATTATTATATCTGAGGTAACATGTTTGATTTCTTCCATGAGGTAATATATACAATTTACCATATATAAGCTAATAAATACACAAATATTATAAATATAGATGCATATGTGAGTTTATTGTTTTTAATCAATCACATTACAGTATCTCATATGCTTGGTCTTTCACAAGCATTACTTACTTAGTGCTCTGGAATGATCAGGGTTTCTAATACCTTTCATTTTTAATCTCTGTAGTAACATGGCTGATGTAAGCTGTCGTACAAGATACACAGACATGGAGTAATTCTACAAAGAAAGATAATCTGTATTACGGACTAGAGATGATATTCTCTTTATTTACATAAAATGCTTATCTAAGAAACTCTAGTTTCTAAAAATAACATTCAAAATAACTTCTAAAAAAAAGTCAGTTACTGGGAAGAGGGCAAAATCAACAAGGCTACTTGAGGGAAAATAATGGCTTACTCATTCTAAATATATTTCTCTTATCATTTTATAATACCCATGGGTTGGTATAGTATGGTAAATAGCTTCAATTTAGTGGTTACAAACTGTTTACAGAGACCACTATGCAAATGTACCTTCCCATAATTACTTACAATTAGAATCCTTTTGTTTTCATCTACTTATATAATGAGGCTCTCATATTTTCATTTAAAAATGCAGAAGCAAAGTTCGAATAGTGGTATGAATTAACACTTCACACCCAGAGTTCCAAAGTTTTATTTCTAACAAGAGAAACCACTGGTCAAATGGCCTTGAGCACAGCCTTCAGATAAAGTTAGTATTGGCTTTCTTCTGAGAAAAGCAGTCATTTACAAAAGACACATGAAAAAATAATGAAATTCAAAAGGTGAGGCCAGAAAATAATAGTATAAATCTGGCACAAAGCAACTTTCTCGATTATCTATACAGCTTTGAAAGATGACATATAATTTTACCAAATATTAAAAAATTCTACTTTAATATTTTAACACATACACATATATTCATTCATTCCACAATAAAAAAATACTTTTGATAGTTGCCAAACCAAATATTTTAAATACATTTAGTGTTCTTTTAAATATCTCATACTCAATAAACTATGCAAATTTTAGGTCCTTGTATCATTTTAACTACAAAGAACGAATATCAATCCCATTATATGGCAAATCTATAGTCTTCAATGTCAATAATAATTTATTCAAAAATCCTAAAGTTATTTCCAGTTCTGCAACTACTCTAGTGGTGAAATAAAATTCCTGCTATAAACATATGCCTCGACTTTTTCATCCACAACAAAATATTACACTTTATTTCCATGAAACAGGAACTACAGTTGATACTCAGATATTAAATCTTTTTCCATTATTTGTTAACAAGTGCATCTAAAATGTATATTCCCTGTTGTATTAGTCAGTATCTTATTGATATAATTCATTTTGAGACAAAATCAGCAAAAAGCCAGGTTCATCAACCTGAAGGTATAGAGAAAATAATTTTAAATGAACATCTTTGTAAGAGATGGTTGTGTTATCTGAACTATTAGCTGTTTATGTAAAGGCAGGAACAGATTATTTCTGATCACATGAGTACATTCAACTGTTTCCTCCAAAGACTGATAACATTCTGTCCTTTGCTCCTCTTCATAGATACTAATCATCCCAAACTTCCAGGTTTTTAAGATACACTACACACACACACACACACACACACTCTCTCTCACACAGTGTTTAAATCATTACCTTAAGGAATATAAACATATACATTTCTTACCCAGAAAACAGACATGATACTTAAGAAACCTCAGAGTTAAAGGTATTAACCTTCAAAATATCTATACTTACAACCCTTGAATTGAAAAGGGGTGGAGCCAGTTTAGCCTAAGAAAAAACAAAAAACACCAACTTCCAGTGGACAAGAGAATATTTACCTTTCCAATTTCAGATGCCCAAGAAATAGAAATCTGGTTTGGCACAGCTGAAGACAACCTAACTAAAGATGTAATATTCAAGGGGCGCCCAGGGCGCTTCTGCTCAATCCCATTTTTCGGTGGTGGTGCATACCCCTGTAACCATAAGAAATTTATCTTAAATTCTCTGTAAGACATTAAACATTTTACCCAAAATAGATGCAGGATACTGTCTAATTTCAGTTACAATCACATGATCCAGAAATATATAAGAAATAATAAAAATCAATGTTTCCTCATTAACATTAAAGAGACTAACATCTTGCCATTTTGGCTATGAATCTTCTTCCTCTTTATAAGAAACCAAATTTTACAGATGAAATCCCATCTCTTCAAAATGAGTCACTTAGGAGACCCCATTCAAAATATTTTAACATACTGGGGTGGAAAACAGGGAGAACAAACTTTGGAAACTTAAATCAGGTCAAGTGCACACCTGTGATCCCAGCTACTTGAGAGGCTGAGGCAGGAAGATCATCAAGTCTTCCTGTGCGAGCGACTTTACCCCATCTCAAAAATAAAAAGGGCTGGACATGTAAATCAGTAGTATGGCAAACATAAGGCCCTGGGTTGAATCCCCAGCACCACAAAATCAAAAACAGAAGAAATAAGGAAGAAGAAAAAAAAAACAAAACATCAAGCCAATGAAAAAAATTCATCACTATTTCAGTTAGCATTAGATTTTCCTTTAAATAGTAAACATACTCACTTTTGTTGTGTTTTAATGGCAATAGAAGCTGAACCTAGGGGTGCTCTATCACTAAGTTATATCCCCTGAGGTGTTAGCAACATGAAAAACAGTATTAAGAGATTGCTTTATCTCTATAGCTCTTGTTCACATATAAGAATATCATTTGGAAAAAAAAATTTTGAAATAGGGTCTAAGTTTTGGAGGCTGGCCTCAAACTTGTGATCCTCCTGCCTCAGCCTCCTGAGTAGCTAGATATACAGGTATGCACCACCATGCCTGGTAACATAATCACTTTTTTTAACCTTTATTTGTTTATTTATTTATTTCTATGTGGTGCTGAGGATCGAACTCACTGCCTCACATTTGCTAGGGAAGTGCTCTACCACTGATCCATAACCCTAGCCCCACATAATCACTTTTGATTAACAGTATACTCAATTTTTAATTACCAAAAGAATTCAAAGGTTATAATTTTCAGGTTATATACTTTCAAATACATATTAAAGAAAATCAAAATTTCTTAGCTTCAGTAACATCTGTGTATTGAAAAGCAGGCATTGTATTTCACTAATGGTCTGATATCTTTCATGTAATTTAATTATCTACTATTGAGAAGGGAAAAACACTAAGTGTATCACTTATTTTTGTACACACAGAAGAAAATATAAGCAAAATTAATTGACTAATATTATTTTAGGATACAGATGAATCTTCTGATTCATATTTCTTTTTAATATTTTTTAGTTGCAGATGGACATGATACCTTTCTTTTTTTGGTACTGGAGATTGAACTCAGGGGTACTCAACCACTGAGCCACATCCCCAGGGATTTTAATTTGTATTTGTTTAGAGACAGGGTCTCACTGAGTTGCTTAGCACCTCCCCTTTGCTGAGGCTGGCTTTGAACTTGCGAGCCTCCTGCCTCAGCCTCTTGAGCCTCTGGGATTATAGGCATACGCCACTACATCCGGCTATTTATTTTGTATGTGATGCTGAGGATTGAACCCAGTGCCTCATCCATGTTACGCGAGTGCTCTACCACTTAGCCACAAGCCCAGCCCCCTGCTCAATTTTCAAAGTCATCAATGTATGTTTTTCCAAATGATATTCTTAATACTGTTTTTCATGTTGCTAACACCTCAGATTTCCTTGCAAGTCAATCATATCATTAACTACATGAGTCAATGCTAATACAATATGAATCTTATCAGAATGGTGATGAAAGGTTTTCAGACAACAGCCAGAATTCACTCTCCTTCATAAAATGTCCTTAAAGTACCTGTTGATTGAAAAGCTAAGGGCATGCAGCTAATCAATCATACTAGAGAAATACTATCAAAGTTGTAAAAGTAAAGGCAGCGACAAAAACGTCACAGCTGCCACATCAGCAACCACAAAACATTTGTTATTTCAGCAACATTGAATTAAATACCTTACAAGGAATTCTATACTGGTGGTATTATAGAGCAGAACTAAGGAACACATCCAAGTTGTCTACTACAACTTAGGAACATCCTTCCTCATTGTCTCATAAGAGGAAGAATAGTAATTATTAAGTGGGAAGGAATCTACATGCTAAGTCTTACTCTACAACTTGCAACAAAATTCTGAAAATCATTAAAACTGATTGAGTAGTTGGGCACAGTGTGGCTCACAACTGTGATCACAGCGACTCAAGAGGCTAAGGTAGGAGGATTATAAGTTCAAGGCCAGATTCAGTAACTTCCCAAGATCCTACCTCAAAATTAAACAATGAAAAGGGCTGGAGATGCTGCTCTGTGGGTAAGAGCCCCAAAGGTCAATCCCCAGTACTTAGACAAAAACAAAAACTGAGGAACAGAGTAAAAAGGCAAAGAAAAAAACTTAAGTGTGAGTGTGCGTGTATAGGAGGGGTGCACACATCTAAATTTGCTCATGTGAAATACAACAGAAAAAAGCTTATTAAAAAGTCCTCTTACAAGCCAGGCACAGTGGTGCATGCCTGTAATCCCAGAGGCTCAGGAGACTGAGACAGGAGGATGGAGAGTTTAAAGCCAGTCTTAGCATCGGGGAGGCGCTAAGCAACTCAGTGAGACCCTGTCTCTAAATAATACAAAATAGGGCTGGGGATGTGGCTCAGTGGTTGAGTGCCCCTGAGTTCAATCCCCAGTACCAAAAAAAAAAAAAAAAAGTCCTCTTACAATATGTCAAAATACATCTACTGTCAAGTATAACTAATAATCAGAATTTTAAAAAATAAATTTTAAAAAGTCCTCTTGTAAAAATTCTAAGAATAGACAAACACAAGGAATATCAATATCAGTATTTAGGCAATTATAAATGCAAACTTTTGTCTTGCCTATTTTGGGCCTAGAAGATAATTCTGTCTACTGGTATTTCAGCCAAATAAAAACAATGGCATAGGGTCTGCCAAAATGATAAGAATAACTCATGACCTAGCTATATGTGAAGCCTGTAAAATGGAATTTTGAGTCACATCTTGACAGCACGGAATGGAACAGTAACAGTGGGTCAAACAACAGTGAATTTAAGAATGAGTGCTAAGCAAATTCAAAATTATGTATGGAACTAGTCTTAATTGCCTAAAGTATATTCAGTCTATTCTCTACCTATTTGAGAAGTTTGATTTCAATAGTAATTATGGGTCATCAATCTGTATTCCCCTTCTAGCCCATAGCAACCTCCTACCTATCCAAGCACCCAAGACCCCATTATAGTTGAAACTTTGTAAAATATTAATGTTCAGCCTTCTCAAATTTTTAACAACTTTCCATGTTTAAAGCAAAAATAAAATCAAGTTCATTTCACAGGTGATCTGAAGAGCAAATCCACAAGTTTTCTCAATAAAGGCTGTTAGAGAACATTGGTAGAAGACTATGTGGATCTCAGCCTCACACTTTAGGAAAAGAAACTCAAAAGAACTTTTCATGTTACATGCTGTGACAACATCCTGCCCTACATACAATTGTGACAAACTCCACAATGCTGTTCCTTTATCATCACCTCCTAAATTCTAATCACCACTATTTAGTTTATATTTTGGAAATTTTCAAACATACACAAAAGCAGAGAGAACAATAGGTACCCACTAACCAGCTCCAATAATTACTAACATTTTTCAATCTTGTTACTTTTGTCTCCAGCCTCATTCCAGCTTGCCCCAAAACACACCCACCATGTACATGCACAATAATTTTTGTCCTTGAGTAAACACAAATTCTAGACATACCAGTTAATTTTCATATTATTAATCAGTGTGTCTAAGAAGACCTTTAAAAAAACACAGTATTGCAACCTTACAAAATTCACAAGTTTCCAAAAAATCATCTAATATCTTGTTTCTATTCCAGTTTCCCAGCTGCCTCAAAGACATTTTTTTTTAATTTAAAAAATTTTTTTCATTTTTTTTATTGGTATGTGGTGCTAACGATCGAAGCCAGTGCCTCACACATGCTAGGCAAGCGTTCTGCCACTGAGCCACGACCCTCAAAGACATTTTTTATTACTGAAAATTTCATACACAAAAACAAAGAAAAGAACTGGGCATGGTGGTGCACACCTGTAATCGCACTAGCTCAGGAGGCTGAGGCAGGAGGATTGGGAATTCAAAGCCAGCCTCAGCAACTTAGCAAAGCACTAAGCAATTCAGTGAGACCCTGTCTCTAAATAAAATATAAAAATGGGCTGGGGATGTCACTCAGTAGTAGTTAAGTGTTCCTGGGTTCAATCCCAGATACAAAAACAACAACAACAACAACAACAACAAAAAAAAAAAAACAGAAAGAGGGAAATCCATAAACTCAGAATTTATTAGGAAAAGGAGGTCAGTACTGCACTAAGAAGAACTGGAGATTTTTGCCAACTGAGTTAAAGCACGTATCTTCTCCATTCTTTGGAATCTCTCTAAGAAATACTCCTCCCTGTCAGTCTTTCCCCATTCAAGCTTCCAGTTCCACAGGTTTCATAGAAATTTCTTATAATCTCTTTAAAACTAATAATAAGTCAACTACTCAAAATAACTCCCTAAGCCTTTTTCTGCCCGCCCCCACCTTGCAACAAAACAAAACAAAACAAAAAACAAAGACTTCTGATCTAGCTCTCAGTCTGCACACCGGCAGTCCTTGGAGTCAAAGATGGGGGCAGTGTCTAAGGCAAATTTTATCTTTGCAAGCTGCAGGCCATTACCATGCAAGCCTCACTATGAGCTGCATACTTCTTCCCTGAAGATTCAAGAGAATCTTCTCCTTCGTATTATCCAAATTACATTTCCCATTCCATTTACTGTGTATATGTAATATAGTGGCCAAATGCCATGGGTTTATAATAACTAGACATTATAATAAGGTGATTCAGCATACGACAAATATGTTTGGCGCTCTTGTGGGAAATTCCGTGACCATGTCAAACTTATCCCTCTGGGATCTGTTATTTAACAAACCAGGGTCAGGGGCAAGGACTACATACATGTTAAGCTTCTTTATGGCTTGCTCATGGTTCTTACAATTAGAACAGGGTCCCTGAAACTCAATGTTCAATGTCACTCCTATACATTCCCTGTAGCTTTCTTCTTTTGAGGCTGCAGCATATTCACATAATTCTCATAAACCTCACAATCCTGTTTCGTGTTCTTAATGAATTTCATTACCTTAATGAATAGCATGTGTGGATTAAGAAGTAATTTTAAGACGTTTTCCATCAATTGCATGTGAATTTATGTCAGTTGTTCCATGGGAGTTCATGGGTCTGTGGCAAAAAGCCTTTTCAGGGAAAAGGCTGGAACAGGATTTTCTTTGGCATGGCCCTAGCTGGGTCAAGCAGGGCTTCCCCACTCCCTTTAAATTTTAAAAATGTCTCTGCCTTTCTCCCATTGCTCTATTTCTTCTTCTTCACAAGTACCCCTAACTCCCAGGATAAGTACCAAATTCATCAGACAAAGGGTGCTTTAAATAGTAGTCAATGTATTCACAAATAACCTAGGATAAGCACTCAAGGGTTAATTGGTGCTTTGGGGCAGAAGTCAGCAATAACTAACAATGTAAAGAGGAAATAATCAGCTGCCCAATTTTCTCTCTCTCAAAAGGACTGTAAGAGTGACAAATTCAGAGCTACAGTGGTGAAGATCTCAGCCATGAGGATTATCATCCTCATATATGTTACTGACTAGTCCATCTGGAAATTTTGTGGGCTTGTGTGTATACACATATGCAGACTCCATATTTTCTAAAGCAATGCCAAAGAATTTAAACAAAACATCACATATTTCAGACACAGCATCACTGGCACGTCCAACCTGGCTTTGAACATATACGAGACCATGTAAGCAATTGTTCCTGAGCATATCTATTCATCCTCTTTCCCCCTTTTTTACCCCCATAGGACTATCCCAACTGATTTCAGTCTCACAGGCATCTTCACAAAGAGTTTGTGATGCAGTGGTCTTCAAGCTCTGTAAAACTCCTGGAACAAGTATTTCTCAAGTTTTCTAAATCCACTGTCTATGAATGAGACACATTCCTAACAAGAAAAGTCAGATTCCTTTAGCTACTGGGGTCAACCTGAGCCATGGACTATCTTAAGTTGGGAGCTCAATTTCAAGGGCTTAGCTGCTCATAGGTATTATTCATATACTTACTCCAGAGCCAAATCTCATGCTCAGCAGGAATGCTAAACAGCTTCCCATTCATTCCTCAAGAGCTGCAATGGTGTCTGATCTGTTGAAATGGCACCTCAGCAAAATGGGGCGGGGGAGGGGGTCTGTTCTCAGAATACTTCAGTTACAGCAAACACTTGGTAGGGCTTAACAAAGCGATCATACTTTTTTTTTTTTTAAATATTTTTGTTGGCCTTCTGTACAACTGACAAATTTAATAATATACTTCAGGCCTCAGTGCAAAATACAAAACAGTTCACCAATTTAAATATTATTTTTAAGACTTGATTAAGGATTTGAAGATTCCAAAACTATCTATTAGGTCAGGAATAGGATGCATACATTTACAATGTATATATTCCAGCTAAGTCCATATGCTGCTTCCCTGTTAAACAACAGGTTGTCAAATATCATTGCATTCCCCTAACCCTCTGGTGTGTACATCAAGTTCCAGGCTTGGAACTCTATACCTCTTGGGCTAGCCGCTCTCAAAAAGACCCTGCATCCCACCACACGTCCACTGGCTAGTCTCAGCTAATCCATATAGCCACCGTAACACGCTGTCCTATATATTTAAGTGCCCAAGTCCTGTTGTTTAATATGATCCCAAGAGTCTTTCAGAGCTTCCTAAAATTCTAAAATAACAAGTTCCAGGCTCATTTTTTTTTCCATCTCTCCAAGAGTCATTTATTTCTCTAAGGAGCTATGGATCCCTCAAAGACAAAGCAATATTTAATCTAGATGCTAGAACTAACTATTAATTGGTACGTGGCTATCACTGTTTCTAGACCTTGTCAGTGTTTACATTAAATTTACATGAAAATCTTATGAATAAAAAGCAACTTACAGGCAAAGGAAACAGCTTCCCATTTACTTTTATACATAGACTATTGGGATAGTTGTCTTCTTGAGGACAACTTGTCTCTGCCAGGCAAAGTCTGCATTTAAAAAAAAGAAGAAGAAACCTCTCTTAAATAATGAATCCAAACATGTTTATGTTTTAAAATTCAGGGTCACATACACAAAGGTAACAAGTGTAAACTTATAGTTAGAAAATTTCAAACTCACCTCAGCTGAACTTGGACTGTATAATCTCTCCTACCACCTGGCAAAAAATCCCTGTTGGAAAGAGAAATAGAATAGGTTAAGAATATAGAATAAGATTCCACAGGAACACTATGGGGGGGGGGGAGTATTATTCATTTTTATTCTTACTTGTTAAAACATGAAATCTAGCCTGGCAACCGTATAAACCTTAATTAAAACACTCTGATGATAACGCTCATTGACTTTTAGTCATGTCTTTTCAGCAATTTTAAGGTATTTTCAATTCATAGGGACTCTGACAATACAGTATTTACTTCAATAGACAACAAATTTGTTAACATGAAAAGAAATATGCTAGGTTCTGAAAAAAATTAACAAATTAATCTGTACTTAACAGTTCTCCACTCTAAGACTCTAATCACTTGAAGATCTTGCTTGTTTAACATAAAAGTCCATTCACTAGATATTCTTACGATTTGAGTATTGTCGTCTCTCATTACATTTTACAGCTACCCAAGTTATTCTAATATAGAACTAATGCTTGCAGTATCAACTTCTCTATACAATAGCAACTTCATAATTAGTATTCAAATTAATACACATAACCTCTTGCACTTTCTAGATGAGAAACAGAGTTCTATATAAAACACCTCTGGCACCGAACTCTCTAAACCTTGCCATTCAAAATGGAGTCCACAGCAAAGTAGCACTAGTATCTTTAGGAGCTTGTTAGAAATGCAGACTCTCTGTCCCCATCCCAGATGTATGGAATTTGAATCTGCATTTTAACAAGATCACCTGGGGATACACCTTGTAGTTAACAAGGTATCCTTAGTCATTATCCTAAATCTTGCACTTTGTCAGAGAAAAGATCATTAACAGTAGTACCTAAAGTAGTACATTTTACCCTCACTTTATTCTAACTGAGATAGTCTGTTCATTGTTTCCAACTCTCTACCTTGATGGAAGGCAGTAAAGCACAGCAATGACCAGCATGAGCTTTATGGTCCTGAGCTAAAGGACCTTGGGCAATTACTTAACCTTTCTGTGTTTTGGTTTCTGTATTTGTTAAAGACAGAAAACTACTTGTGATGATTAAACATGTTAACACAAGAGCTGTGCTCAATAAGTGTGAGCAGCTGAGTACCAGTGTTTCCTCTCCTCCCACTGTCTTCCTTGCCACTAAAATGCTCCACTGTTCTCAAGTGTCTCTTCAAAACATTCCCATATCCTAGACAATACTGACCTCTTCTGAGCAACTCATATTATTCCACTCATTCAAATCAAGAAACATTTCCGTCTGGGCACTGGGGGCGTCAGAGATAAATAAAACACAGTATTTGCTTCAAAGGACTCATGACAGTAGGTAATATATATATATATATATATATATATAAACACACACATAACAAAACAAAAGTGTGATAAGTGCTATAGCAATGTGGAAACTTAATTTTTGTCTTAAAAGTTCAAGGCAGTTATCAGAAGACCAATCAAATAGGGTTTGTACAACAGTGGTTCTGCCTATTTCTATTTAGTGACCCCACTTGTGTTGTGATTCTCAATAGAAAAGTGAGGATCAATTAGAAATGCCTTAAGTATCTTGTTAGGTTGGGGAACATAATCTGAAAAAAAGAGAAATGACAGGAGATGAGCCTAGAAAAGTAGAAAGCCTATTCAGAATATAAGTTGCTAGAGAAAACTAATGGGAGATAAGATGATTAAAAAAAAAAAAAAAAAAAAGTTGGGCAGAGCAAAATGTAAAGAGCTGCCAGGCAATGAAGTGTGGACTTGACGAAGCAGCACTACCAGGTTTTTGAGTACCAAAGAGAAAAAAAACAGAACAGGCTATAGAAAGATCACATGATCAGCTAGGAACCAAAGTTAGGAGACCATTTCAATTGTATAGGCAAAAGAAGAGAACTTGAAAGCTATTTAAACACAAATACTGCTGAGAGATACTTCAGCATAGAGTATTCAGTAGACCTCAAAGCCTGACTAAACACAGGAAGGAAATGAGAGAAGAGGCATTTTTGGGTGGGTGCTCAGGTTTTGGAACAGTGCAGTGGGATAGTTGGTGATGCTACTCATTGGGATAAGGAGAAGTAGAGCAAGTTATAGCACCCCTCTTCAAGAGACCCATTGAGGTGGTGGTTACTCCAGTTTTACATATTGGATACATAAGAATGAATGAGGTTTAGTCACTACTCCAGCAGCATATAGACCTAGGTGGTTAAGCCAAAATTCACTTTTTTGTTGTTGTTGTTACTGGAGACTGAACCCAATGATACTTTACCACCGAGCTTTACCCTCAGACGTGTGTGTGTGTGTGTGTGCGTGTGTGTGTGTGTGTGTGAGAGAGTGAGAGAGAGAGAGAGAGAGAGAGAGAGAGAGAGAGAGAGACTGACTGACTCTCACTAGGGCCGTGCTAAATTGCTGAGGCTGGCTTTGAACTTGTGATCCTCCTGAATAAGGCTCCCAAATCAGGGATTACAGGCATGGACCAGTGCATTGGGCCAAGATTCACTTTCTAGTTGGTATTACTCTAAAAATTCTACTAGCTTCTTCAAAAGTAGAGTTCCATGGTTAAGTTATAACTCTGGAAAGTGATGGAGAAGAATCAATACAGTGTTATCAAAGTAATGGGAGATGGTCTATGAACAGTGGGATAATACCAAGAGGCCTTGTGTCCTGACAGATCCCAATGCTATCAATGAATGGGGACTACAGCAGGAAATACATCAAACAAAAATGTCCTTGAAGCCAATTTATTTTTCAAGTTTGTGTCACTGATATATGGAGTACAATCTGGACTACAGCAGAAAGTCAATAAATATGTGCTGCATAAAGGAACAAAAGACAAGCAAGTCTGAAAAGTAGGCAAGTTTAATTTTAGATGTGCTGTGTTTGATGTGCTTGTGGGTCATTAAAGTAGGCTCAATGAGAAAGGACACTGGAGAAAGATAGCGGTGATCTTCAACTTCCAATATAAAAATAAGAAAAGCACATACAAAGAAACTGACACAGAGTATCAAGAAGAGAATCACAAATTGATTTCTGAGAATGAGCAGGAAAAGTCAATGGGAAGACCTAAGGAAGAATGATTAGAAATGTGGTAGTACCAAATGGAAGTCCTAAAGTCAAGAAGAGAGCTGAGGCCACTCACTGATGGATCTTTACATGATATAATACAAAGCGAGGAGGGGAAGAGGGAAAAAAGGGAGGGAGGCAAGAAGGGAGGGAGACAAGGAAGGAGGCAGGCAAGGAGGAGGAAGGGAAGGAAGGAAGGAAGGAAGGAAGGAAGGAAGGAAGGAAGGAAGGAAGGAAGGAAGCAAGCTAGCTGAACCTGAATATATTCACATCTTTATACTAGACCTTATTATCTCTACAGGCAAAAGGGAAGAGTCAGACACACAGCAGTGGTTTTCAAATTTGCTCACAGGAAACGCCTAGAGAGCTTTAACGATCCCTGTTTTGCGGATATAGGTATAATTCAATAACAAAGCACATATACGGTATGTATGCATGTGTATGGGTTTGATCTCCAGCACCACAAAAACCACTGTCTATCCTAGGAGATTCTAATTTAACTGATATGGGATGAATCCTGGGTATCTGGCATGGACTGGATTTTCTTAAAGCTCCCCAGTTGACTCTAATATGCAGCAAGTTTGAAAACCATGGGGATAGGCATGGTTAAATGTTACCACAAGAAGCAAGCATGCAAATGAAACTTTTTTTTTGTTGTTGTTTGAAAAGCAGAAACTGTGATAATTATAATTATAATTATGAGGGGAACCATGGCTGTGGAGAAGTGATCAATTCCCAATTCCAGGGGGAACACAAAACCAGAAGATAAGCCTGGAGTATCTTGGATGTCAGAAAGTATAAAGGTGCTTAAAAGTGGATCTAGGAGGGAGAGAAACATTAAAAGGGCATTAAAACCAATTTGAAAGAATTACCAACAGCCAAAGGTAGAACAATTGAACCACAATATAAATCCCTATGGCACTGAGTTAAATCCATGGAACACCTATGAAACCACACTGATATGAATTCCTACATACATAAATAAGGGAGAAGGAACAGTTCTTTCCTACAAAAGAAAAGCTCCAATGTAGAAAAGAATAAGGACAATAGAAAATCATCACTGAAACATGACTATTTTGCTGAAGATAAGATTCACAAATGAATAATGAACTAGAGCAAAAGTCTGAGGAGCAACAGTATATGCCCACTCTCAAAGTATCTCCCCCAAGGTAGTTATTAATAAGAAACTCAATAACTACAGTGCAAAAATCTGGTACACAGTACCTTAACCAAACAACCAAAGTTAGTATCACCAAAAATAAAACAGATCAATATTATGTAGTCCCTGGTATGATACACCAAGAAGGGAATATAACTTGAGATATTATCAAAAATGCAAAAATTTCAGCAGTAGCAAAATAAAAGACATATACCGAAACTGAGGGCAGTCAACAAAATGCCTGACCAGTACTCTCCAAAAGTATCAGAAGTCAAAAAGACAAGGAAAAACTAAGAAACCTACTAAGTAAAAAAAGAAATTAAGGGCTGGGTATGTGGCTCAAGCGGTAGCACGCTTGCCTGCCATGCATGCGGCCTGGGTTCGATCCTCAGCACCACATACAAACAAAGATGTTGTGTCCGCCGAAAACTAAAAAAAAAAATAAACATTAAAAAAATTCTCTCTCTAAAAAAAAAAAAAAAAATTAAGATGATATCACAATTAAATGTAATTTAAAATGAGATCTAGAAACAGAGTTCATTAGTTGAAAAATTAGCAAAATCTGCAGTCTACAGTTAATATTATTGTATCAACATTAAAGTCAAAAGTAATATATGAACCTTGTTTGAAAACTAAAACAATTGAGCAAATATGAATATGGACTGGGTATTATCCGTATTAAGGAATTATTAATTTCAGTGATTATGTTCAAAATTAGAGCCGAATCTTGAAATATTTTTGGATTAAATTATATAATGCCTGTGATCTGCTTTAAATGCTTCAGGAAAAAAAGGAAGGAGGGAGTCAGATATAGACAGCCAAAACATTGATAATTATTAAAGCTTGGTAATAGGCAGCAAACTTTCACTTCCATTTATTATATGGATTTTTTTTTGCAGTGGGGGTTGGAAACTGGAGATTTATCCCAGGGGGCAATTTAACACTGAGCTACATCCCAAAGCCTTTATTTTTTCTATTTTGAGACAGTTTCACTAAGTTACTGAGGCTGGCCTTGAACTTGCAATCCTCCTGCCTCAGCCTTCAGAATCCTGAAACTATAGGCAGCACTAAGGGGATTTTTACCAATTTACTATGTAGCTCTGAAAAGGTTAGGCTTTGTAATTTACATGTGATGCATGTGGTCTTTATTTTTTGAGGGGGGATTGTAAACAGCCACTACTTTTAAAATAAATTTTATATTAGGGTTAAATATACAATAAAAAAATAACTTTTCCATTATAATCATTCTTAAGAGTGCAGGTCTGGTGGGCTGGGGTTGTGGCTCAGCTGCAGAGTGTTCGCCTAGCACAAGCAAGGCCCTGGGTTCAAACCTCAGCATCACATATAAATAAATAAATAAAAAGTGTTGTGTCCAACTACAACTAAAAAATTAAAAAAAAAAAAAAAGTGCAGGTCTGTGGCAGTAAGTACATTCACATCAGGCAACTATCACCACCATCTATCTACAGAACACAATTAATACTTTCAGTTTAAAATTAGTCATTCATGGGTTGAGGTTGTGACTCGGCAGTAGGGCGCTCACCTAGCATGTGCAAGGCCCTGGGTTCGATCCTCAGCCAACACATAAGAATAAATAAATAAAATAAAGGTATTGTGTCCAACTACACTAAAAAATAAGTATTAAAAAAAAACAAAATTAGTCATTCATTTCTTATTAGTTAACATATTCACATAATCCAAACACCAAATGTATACAAGAAAGATATAAAGAGTCCCCATAATTCTGCTCCCAGCTATCTAGTTCCTTTCTCCAGAAGCAGCTAGAGTTTTAAGTGATATGTTTACTTACATATTTATGTACTTAAAGCAAATTCTCCCACACGTTTAGAATAGCACAGTTTGCAAGTGTTCCTCACCTCATTTGCTTAAAAAATTTACCTTGAAGTATGAACCTCTAAATCTCTTACTCTAATCTCCTTTATTCAAAGCCAACCAACATCTCAGTCAAGTTTTCCCAGACTGTTACCACAGGTAACAGTTATCTTCTCCCTCCTATAAATCAGCTCATCTGTCATTACTAAACAGGTTCTTTTCATATGACCCCTTGCATCAAACACTTTATGAAAATGAGCTGATTTCCTCTTACAATTTGCACTAAACTTGGTAGAAAAGGATCATGTCATATAAAACATCTTATACCTAATGAACACTTAACAAACACTGCTCCTAAGTAAGAGCTTATCAAAAGAAAACAAAATTAAGAACTAATAATATAAAATATGATTTTTGTCTATTGTTAGTTGATTTATTAAATGTCCCCTATGATCCCTACAAGTTACCCTTTCTATGTGTGCACTACTCTCTGGGACCTCAATCTTTCCAGGGACAGATTATAAAATCATTGAGAATTTTGTTGAGACACATAATTTTAATAAAAATGATATAATTAGTCAAAGAATCTAAAGTTGTGTCCCAGAGTCTTCTACATAACAACAGTCCATTTTCAAGATACTCCATATTTAAGAGTTTAAGGTCCATAAATCTGAATCCACCACCTAGGGAGACTTAATATGCAGCTTACAGATTAAAGATGGCAACATCCGGCTATAAAAAACTTATAAAATTATGTTAAATATAGACTTTCCCCCCAAAGTTAGTAAACTATAGCACCTTATATAAAGAAGTTATTATTAACACCAAAAAATTATATATATTTTTTTTCACTTTAGCAGCTTGAAAATTGTAAAAGATAACTTTAGACTTCTCTCCTGTATCTTCTCAACTGATTTTCCTTATATTTGCCCTTTTCCTTTCCTATTTAGCAAGATTTGACCTTCCATTTCAGGATCTTTTTGCGGTCTTTGTCCAGTTTTAGTCTGGTGATAATGACCATGCTGGGGTGAATGCCCACATGGACAGCTCTTGTGCCATTAGCCTTTTCCCATCACCACATTCAATGCACATGACAAGTTTGTTCCTATAAATCCTAACTACTTTGCCAATCTGCTAGCCTTTACAGTGTCCTCACACAACCTGAACTTCATTATCCCTTTGATTGCACATAGATCAAAAGTTGTGCTTGTGCTTCTGCCTCAGCTCTCAGGAAGGAGGGAAGAACATAATCATCAGATGAACATGGGAAGAGGCATTAAGACACCTTTGAACAAAGGGTTGAACTTCATTTTGGCCGCTTCTGCTTCAGCAATGGCTACAAATAAGAATGGCTACACATGGCTTCCAGTTTTCAAGATGATTATGTTTAATTTGAAAAGTTTACCCTACAAATTACCTTCTCTTTCCTTTTACATCTCTTAGTTCATTTACTCTTTGCAAGTGTGTACTTTTAAGATTCTATTTTCCAAAATAGGCAAGGGTTAACAGTACTTTTCTAATTGCTTTTAGATTTCAAGTAATTTTTTGGTCAGTATTTTTTTAGCTTACTTTGCTCTAAACTTTAAGGTTTTTGTTCTTATTGAAAAATAAATATTAATTATGCTCACTTTACTTTAAAAAATGCTTCAGTTTGATATTATGAAGTTGATTGTAATCCTACCTTTGGGCTTTTATCACAAATTTTTATGTTTAATATTTGGAAAATATTTTTCATTTAAAAAACTGCTGCGCAATTAGGGGTGTAGTTCAGTGGTGAGATGCTTGCCTATATGTAAAAGGCACTGTGTCTGATTCCCAGCACTGACAAAACAGGAAAAACATGTGTTGCCAAATGTGACTTAAACAATTTAAAAGATAGTGAGGTTTCAATTCAAAAGTTAAAATTGTTGCTAATATAGAGTATTTATTAAATATTTGACTAATTTTCAAAGTATACTCCCCTTGCTTAAAAGAGAAATAGTCCAACAGTTATGCACTGGACAGTATACCCACAAAATTGTAATGCTGAAGCCCTACCAATGTGAGCATTTGAAGACAAGATTTTTTAAGAGGCAATTAAGGTTAAATGAAGTCTTGAGGGTGGGTCCCTAAACCAACAGGGATTGTGTTAAAAGGAAAAGACTCCAGGCATATACCTGGTACAAAGAAAAGGTCATGTAAGGAGATACAGCAAAATGGGTAAGCTAAAATGAAAGGCCTTAGAAGAAACCAAACCTGTCAACACCTTGCTCTTGAACAGAAGCCTCCAGAATTTTGAGAAACAATTTTCTGCTATTTAAGCCAACCTCTCTGTGCAGCCCTTTGTTATGGCAGCCCTAAAAGACCAATATACAACATTCAAGAAGAAACGTACTTCAAGCATTCCTCTTACCTTGATATGCATATCTCTCTAACTTGTTGAGGTGTCAGAGCAAAAATAAAAAACTTCTCTTGAAATCGCTGAATACTGCTTTGAACTGGGGAAAAAGAAAGAATATTTCAATAAAAAAATCAAAGGATGTCAGCACCTGTAATAACCTGCAAAATTTTGAAATGAAAATTATAAGTAATCAAGAATTTAGTGACCAAGAAATTACTAAACTGTACTGATCTTAGAATTTTGAGTGAAGTCACTTCAACTTGGTTTTAATTATTTTAAGCACTTAATCTTTATTCTAAAACACAAATTGTAATATACTATTAAAAATAACAGGGGCTGGGATTGTGGCTCAGTGGCAAAGTGCTTGCCTCACATATATGAGGCACTGGGTTCGATCCTCAGCACCACATAAAAATAAATAAATAAATGTATTGTCTCCATTTCCAAATAAAAAAATAACAAAATCCTTGTAAGATTGCATTTCATCCTTCCAATAGTACCATCTAATAAAAGTCTCAGGAAGTAAACTGTCCCCTGGGGGAACTCTATCTAAGTGTATTTTGTATTTCTTTGTTGTGCTTTGTATTTAGTGCTTTATATTTAGTATCTCTGAAAAATTTAAATCTCACAACTTCAAAGTTATGTAATAATTATGTATTAATTATTTGCTTACAAATTACCTACTGAATTCATTCTTCTTAATTCTAATATGAAAAGCTGAAGTGTATTTATGACTCCACAAAGTTCTGCAACAGATTTTTTTAATGTTTTACTGGTACATTATAATTATACATACTAGTTGGATTCATGACATATTTGTGTAACAGATTAATAGTGATGAATTATCCATTGATATTCTAGTACCCGTTAAAACAAATTCAAAAAGCTATTACAGAAATTTTAAGTCTTCTGCTTCCCAACAAGTATTGATTACAGTACAACCTAAAAATGGGCAAACAGCCCCTTGTGTATATCTGACCAAAATTTTCCTAGAACATGAGACTAAGTAAGATGCCAATTGAATATTCAACGTCAGAGGGCTTAACTATAAGTCATATTAACCTAAGAAAAATATAGTTTGAGACAAAGCATAAGCAATATGCTATAGCAATTATGCTCCCTAGATATCATCATAAAGTGATTGGTATTTTCTCAGATTACTCTTAAAAAAAGTGGGGAAAAACGGATGCTATTTATGTTGAAGGCCTAAAAATGAAACAATTTTAGGCTACCTCACAATTATGGGGCATAAAACACAAAGACACAAGCACAATCTTTTAAGTCTCTTCATTTCTTAAATTCTTACTTCATCCTTTCTTTCTTTTATGAATCCCAACTTTTCACTCTTACTCTTGGCTAAGATGACCAATGACCTCTTTTAGTTGTGAAATTCAATAACTTATTTTGAGACTACAAGTGAGCATACACTGCATTTTCTATCTTAGTTAATGGCCTGAGCACCCAGTCTCTCCAGCCAGAAACCTCAAAAGATCTACATACAAATAAAGCATTATTTAGAAAGCAAAAATGGAAGACTGAACAACAAACAAAACACTTGGAGAATTAAAGAATAATTCATAATTTTGAAGGAGGAAAATGACTTGATTTCAAATCAAACCCCAAGCAAAATAATACAAACAAAACTACCTAGTCACATCACAAAAATCAAACTACTAAAAATCAATGGCCATAAAATCTTAAAAACAGGCAAAGAACAAGAACATTCTACAAATAACAGCTATTTCTCATCAGAAGGAATGCAAGACACAAGACATCTCTAAAGTGGTGAAAAGAGCCTGGCGTGGTGGCACACGTCTGTAATCCCAACAGCTCAGGAGGCTGAGGCCGGAGGATCCCCAAGTTCAAGGCCCGTCTGAGCAACTGAGCGAGGCCCTAAGTAATTTAGCAAGACCTTATCTTAAAGTAAAAATAAAAAGAGCTGGGAATGTAGCTCGATGATCCCTCTGGGTTTAATCCCCAGTTCCCCCCAAAATTAAAACAAAGTGGTAAAAGGAAACAACAAAAACTCAGTATCTTTCCAAAACAGAGTGAAATAACTTTTAAGCTAAACAAAAGCTGTAAGAATTTGTTGTTAGCTGGGCACGGTGGCGCACCCCTGTAATCCCAACAGCTTGGTAGGCTGAGAAAGGAGACTAAGGAGGCATTAGGCAACTCAGTGAGACCCTGTCTCTAAATAAAACACAAAATAGGGCTGGGGATGTGGCTCAGCGGTTGAGTGCTCTGGAGTTCAACCCCTCTAAAAATTAAAAAAGATATTGTAACTATTTAAAGCAAAAGTAATGGCATTATAGACATAAAGATATAACAATAGCAAAAAAAAAATAATAATAATAAGTACGTATCTACACCTGCAAAGCTGGGCACAACATCCTCAGTGAATTCCCCATGATATATGCCGGTAGTTGAGGCCCCATCTGGATGACTACAGTTAACCTACCCAGAAAAATTCCCACAAATCAAGAAACTTAACATTTGAAATCATAATGTTTTCAGTCAGCATATGACACATACACATACAACTTGTTAACCTTCAACTTAATGTGAGTAGTTTATATCAGAACAGACATTATCTTTATTGTGCCTTTCAATAATATGCATTTTATCTATCATTTTTATCTTATTTTTTTATCTATCATTTCTTTCCTACCAAATTTTCAATCCAATTATTACCTCATGGTCTATGAAAAAAATGGATCTATTTCTTCACTATACATCTATCATAACTGGACTCCAGGAATTTACAACAACAAAAAATAGTGCATGTGAATAAAACCTGATTTGTATTGATGCTGACAATTTTTAGATTTCATGACAATAGCAGCCAAAAGCATGCTAAACTTACCATAAGGTAAATCTATGAACTGAATTGTAATTGTAATACAGATCATGAGAAAGAAAAGCAGAACCTAAAGTAGAGCATGCATGATATACAATTCTATTTATTTTCTATTTTCTAAACTTTGAGATCAGGAAAATCAATTCTGCAAGATCCCATGAATGGTTTTATTTTTTTTCTCACATTTTTAATTTGTTCTTTTTAGATATACATGACAGTACAGTTATAACAGCACAGTTATTTTGACATATTGTACATACATGGAGTATAACTTCCCATTCTTGTGGTTGTACGTGATGTGGCGTGTTATACCGATTGTATATTTCTATACGAACATAGGAAAATTATGTCCAGTTCATTCTACTGTCTTTCCTATTCTCATTCCCCGTCCCTTCCCTTCATTCCTCTTTGTTTAATCCAATGAACTTCTTGAATGCTTTTAATTAAAAACAGAGGGATCCCAGCAGCTTCTGAGGCTGAAGCTCAGGAGGATTGCAAGTTCAAAGCCAGCCTCAGCAATTTACAGAGGCCCTAAGCAACCCAGAGAGACCCTGTTTATAAATAAAATACAAAAAAGGGCTGGAGATGAAGCTCAGTGGTTAAGCACCACTGGGTTCAATCCCCAGTACCCAAACCAAAACAAAACAAAAAAAACCCACAGAGGGAAAAACCATCATAACTCAAGGATGTGAATTAAATATAGCTTATTCAAATCCTTTCCTTTTTCAATAACCTATCATAATGTAGATTTTATTTTCCTAATATAGCCACAACAATATTTCCCGTCATGCAGCCCTTAAACATTTTCTTCCAATTTAACAGGTTTTAAATCTGTTCTTTTGTCTAGATAATATATACCTAAACTTTTAAAAAGGATTCATATTAAATTATCTTTAAAAATTAAAATTGAAGAGAAAAAGACTGCCTCTGAGAGCAAATGAGAAATAGCTACTTAAGGGAGAAAAACAGAAGATTTTTGTTAGTTTGCTTTTTGATTAGAAAATTAAACATTTCTCTTTTTTAAATACATTTTTTAGTTGTAGTTGGACACAATACCTTCATTTTATTTATTTATTTTTTATGTAGTGCTGAGGATCGAACCCAGCGCCTTGCATGTGCTAAGCGAGCGCTCTGCCAATGAGCCACAACCCCAGCCCCTTAAACATTTCTTAATAGCAAAACTGGCTACAAAAAACTTTAATATACTAGACACCCATGTTTTCTAGATACCACAATTCATCATTTTAAATGCCAGGTTATTTAATTTTACTATTTTGAACATATATCACTCCAAACTGCAAAACTATATAATAATGTATATTCTTAAAGAGAATATACTCGTATTTTGTTGTTGTTGCCGTTTTATTTTTTTTAATGAAAGGGTCTTGCTAAGTTGGCTAAGTTGGCCCCAGATAAGCACAGCACCTTAATTGATATACAAAAACAATAACAAAAACAAAGATGGCACAGTAGTGCACGTAATTCCAGCAACTTGAGAGCCTAAAGCAGGAGGATTGTAAGTTTGAGGCCTGTCTGGGAAGCTTAGCTTACCCCATCTCAAAAAAACAATAAAAAATAAAAAGGGTTGAGGATATGGCTCAATGTAGAGCACCTGTGTAGCATGCATGAGCCCTGCGCTCAACTCCTGGTACCACTAAACAACAAAATCCTAGTAATGAACTAATTCTCTGTGTATAAATCAAGTCTGTACAGCCTGAGAATGTCAAGAATACAAACTTTCTGCAGGAGGCCCTGGGATCAACAACCAGCACTGCAAAAGAAGGAGTATGTGATTTGAAACGTGCACCTGAGAATCTTTTTTGACTTGATTCTCATTCCCAAATGTCAACAAGTTATTTCATAACAATGTTTAAATATTTTCATAAGTATTTTCAAAACTACAAAACCAAACTATTAAAAATTAAGGAAACTTCTGAATTTACGTTAACTGCTGCAGAAATTATAACACCACTAAAAATATTCAATCAAATGTTATCATTAGAAACATTAGAAAATTTTTCAATTTTTCTTTGGCAAATTATGAATCCGTTTCATGTTATTATAATGAAATACCTGATAATTAACTTACAAAGAAAAAAGATTTATCCTGGCTCACAGTTTTGAAGGCTTTAGTCCACAAATCATAGGCTCCGTTGTTTTGGGCCTGGGGGTTGTGGGGCAGACTGGAAGTGAGAGTAAAGTACTCACCTCATGGCCAGAAAAGAAAACAGGAAGAGGATGGCATGAGTCTTGGACTCCCCTTTCTGGGGCATGACCCACTATGACCTAAGGACCCAGCTCCCAAAGGTTCATAATACCATCTTGAGGAACAATCCTTCAGCACAGGAACACTACCAAGGACGGGGGATGGGAGGGTGGTGTTTGCTGCCCATATTCAAACCATGACACAAACCACATGGTATTTTACTGACATTTTAACTGTCTACCTCAAAGTCTAATAATTTTTTTAAACCCTTGAGACAGGGTCTCACCAAGTTGCCCAGACTGGTCTGGAACTCATGTTCAGGTGATCCTCCCACACACCTGGGATCATAGGTGTGCACCACCAAACCCAACTTAAGAGAAAATTGCTCATTTTTTTATCAATCTGACATAATGATATACTATAATTAAGAGAATCCCTTCAATGTCTCTTTAGGGAAGATAAGGTAAGAAAATAATGCTGGGTAGGAATTATAAAAAAACATACAGGTTTTGGTTTTGGGGGGGCAGGAGGTTGTGTGTGTGCATTTCTTGCATCCTAAGTTTAACTATAAGCAAAATGTAGAGTATTCTTAGCCACTCTTCAACACAAAATATCCCCAGCCATTGTTTTACATAAGCCAAACAAAAAAGTTATCTATATGCCCAAAATGCATGTTTTATTAAATTTATACAGTCTACTACTTTCCTTTAACCTTAGTGAGGTTAATTAAAGAGAAATTCTATAATAAATATAAGAAATTATTTTAAATTCCTATTTCTATTTCTGAACAATGCCAAAAAATAAAGAAAGAAAAGCATGAGGTCTTTCCAGAGTTCACCTCTTAGAACACCATTACAGCTATTAGAGAAAAGACACTGCTGCATCTTCTTTTATCCCCCAGTCTTCTTTCCAGAGAATCATATATGTTTCTGAAATACCTTCTATTGTAACCACTACCAAGAAACCCTGTATACTACTACTAAAAGGGGAAAAAGCACACTGACATATTTAAGTTTTCAAATGATTTAAAACTAAAAAGTCATCCCAGGATAGAAAACAATCTTCCAAATTAATCATAAAATGCTTTTTCCCAGTTTATGTCATCAATAAGTCCAATGACTACATAAATAATTTCATTATACACTAAAATTATGCTCTGGAAACATAGAAGTCAATAAGCTGGAAAAATTGTTAGTCATGGTAGCAACTTTCAGAACTATGATAAAATTTCTCAAATTTTCTGAGCAGTTATTGTCAAACTCCGTGTGTTACTTTGGGAAAATATTAATTATGAAAAAGGTATTTTTTTTTTTAGGAAAGCAGTTTAAAACTAAACAGAAACTTGGTTTTTTGTAAACATATCAAAACATAAAATCACAGACATGAGATCTACATCTGTTCTCATTTACACAGAACAATGACTCCTAAGCTATAAGAAGAATGTATGAGGAAATTCTAGCCAGAGAAATTAGGCAAGAAAAAGAAATGAAAGGCATACAATTTGGAAAGAAGCAAAATGATCTCTGTTCACTGATGTTATCTTTTATTTAGTAAACCCACACACATTTTTAAAAAGCTACAAGAATAAATACAGAAAAGTAGCAATATACAAAGTCGACACACAAATCATTACACTGCTATATTCTAACAATGAGCAATATGAAAGGAAAGTTATGAAAAAAAATCCATTTATATTTGCATTAGAAAAAATACTTCATAATACTACAGAGGTGAAAGACTTACATGACAAAAAGCACAAACCATGCTGAAACTAAAGGTAATATACACAAATGAAAACACACTCCACAATCATGGACTGGAACACAATATCATAAAGATTCCAATACCACCCAACACAATTCAAATGCAATCTATCTCAAAATCCCAGTGAGATTTTTCCATAAAAAGAAAAACCTGTTCTAAAATGCTTTCAGCATATCAAGGAACCCTGAATACTCAAAGCAATCTTGAAAGAGCACTTCATGATTTCAAAACTTACTGTAAAGCTATAGTAATACAAACAGTTTAGTATTGACATGAAGACAGACACCTGGACCAATGGAATACAAAACCCAGAAATAAAACATCTGATGCCAAGCCTGGTGGCACACGCCTGTAATCCCAGCAACTTGGGAGGCTGAGTGAGAAAGATTACAAGTTCAAAGCCAGACTGAGCAATTTAGTGAGAGCCCATTTCAAAATTAAAAAAAAAAAAAAAACATAAAAAGGGTTGGGGATGTAGCTCAGTGATGAAGCCTCTCTGGGTTTAACACCTGGTACAACTAAAAAATAAATAAATAAAAATAAAGCTTTTTGCATTATGTCAAAAATTTTGACAAGTCTGCCAAGTTCATTGAGAGGGAAAACTGAATATACACACACAGAAGAAAGTAAGTGGACCTTACCTAATGTTACATATAAAAATTAACTCAAAATGAATCAGCCCAGTAAAACCTAAAGGTATAAAACTTCAGAGAAAAACATAAGGCAAAATCTTCAAGACATGAGATTTGGCAATGATTTCTTGGATCTGACATCAAAGGCATAGGCAACAAAATAAAAAGTAGATGAATTGAACATCATGAAAATGTTTTAAATTTTGCATCAAAGACAAAAAACAGTAATCCACAGAATGTGTTAAAATATTTGCAAATCATATATCTGATATCTGTATATATCCAGAATATAAACAGAACTCCTAAAACTCAAAAACAAACAACAACCTAGTTCAAAATGAGCAAAGGACCTGAAAAGATATTTCTCCAAAAAACTACAAATGGTAGATAAGCATATGAAGAGGCTTGACATCATAATCATTACAAAAATGCAAATAAATGTAAGATGCCAGCTTAGGATGGCAACTATTAAAAAAAAGGAAAAAGAAATGTTAACAAGGATGTAGACTAAACCCCTGTGCATTGGTGGTAGAATATAAAATGGTGCAACTGCTATGTAAAATAGTGTGGCAATTTCCTCAAAAAATTAAAGAATTATCATGTGATACAGCAATTCTATTTTTGCGTATATAACCAGATAATTTAAAGGAATGTCTCAAAGAGATTTTTATTTTTATAAATTCACATTCATAGAAGCATTATTCACAATAGTTCAAAATTACAAGCAACTGAAGTATCCATTAGTGGATAAGCAAAATGTGGTAATGGAAGTGAAAATTACAACATCAACTAAAGTAGTCGTTTCAAAGCAGTAAGAATGAGTGGCAGGTAATGAAGTGGGGCATTTAAAAAGTTATAGTACTATAGCCAGGTGCGGTAGTGTACACCTATAATCCCTATAATCTAGAGGCTAAAGCAGGAGGATACCAAGTTTGAGATCAACCTCTCAGCAATTTAGTGAAGTCCTAGGCCACTTAGACCTGTCTCAAAATAAAAAATAAATAGGAGCCAGGCACAGTAGTTTCCAGTGGCTTGGGAAACTGAGACAGGAGGATAGAGAGTTCAAAGCCAGCCTCAGCAATGGCAAAAGCGACGCAACTCAGTGAGATGCCATCTCTAAATAAAATAGGGCTGGGGATTTGGCTCGGTGGTTGAGTGCCCCCGTGTTCAATCCCTGGTACCCACCACCCACCAAAAAAAGGACTGGGGACTAGGAATGTGGCTCAGTGGTTAAGTGCCCCTGGGTTTAATTCTCTGTATCAAAAAAATACAAAATAAAAGTTATAGTATTAGCCTTAAAAAGGAAGAAAATTCTGACATACACTACAACATGGAAGAACCCAGAGGACACATTAACTGAAATAAGCTAGTTACAGGAAGACAAATATTGCAGGAGTCCATTTATATAAAGTGACTAGTCAAAATCAGAGATAAAGTAGAATGGCTGGGGTTCAGGGTATAGCTTATTGGTAAAGCATGTAGTTAGCAAGCATAAGGCTCTGGTTCAATCCCCACCCCACCCCCCACCCCACCCCCCAAAAAACAGAAAAAAGCAGAATGGTGGCTGCCAAGAGCTGGGGAAAGAGGAATGGTGAGTTATTATTTAATGAGTACAGTTTTATGTTTTACAAGCTGAAGTGTACTGAATATGGTTGCTGGTGATAGCTGCACAAGATTACTAATGTACTTAATACAACTAAACTGTACATTTACAAATGGTCAAGACTGTAGATTTTATATGTAGTTTATCAAATTAAAAAAATTAAGAAACAAGAACACTAAAATAATAGTTATGTCAGATTTCAGTTATAGTTACCATATTTTTTTTTATCATACGATGTTACCATATTTTTTTTACCCATACATTTAAACGTTTGACATTAATGTCTCAATTTTGTAATACTAACAACAAATCACCAATTAATAGTTGAAGGCCTCTTGTTTTGTTTACTTTCTTGTCCAGAAAGACACTTACCTAAACTTGTGGGCTTGATGAGAACATCAAGGACATCATAAAAGGGCAGGTTTTTTAACTGCACATCAGGATGGACAGGAGGAATCGGAGGAGATGGTTGCTGCATCTCAAATGTGGGCTTAGTATCTTGAAGCAGCACAGAACCAACAGGAGAGGACGGTGAGTGAGGTGTAACTGAAGTGGAAGGCAATGAGTGGATTCCAGCCACAGCCAAGTCAGGTTCTACAGGAGATGAGCTACCATCCAAATTAAAAACCGATGATTTGATTGTGGATAAATCAGAAAGTCCTTCAAGAGTCCGAGGATATCGACGTCTATATAATTCTCGGATTTTAATCTGAACCGCAGGGCTGCAGCCACTCTTCAATAAATGCAGCGCCCTCATTAGGAGGTCATGTTTGCGTCCACTTTTATTCCGTCCAGCAAAGCCTAATAACACTTGTAGTTCAGAAACCCTAAAACTAGAAACCATATTCTAAAAAGAAAGAGAAAAAAGATAAGCCAATAGTCATCTCCAAACATAAAAACCCCACCTAATATACTATAAAATCTGATTTTTTCCTCTATCAATTGACACATGCTAGTAATCAGCATTTTTCACATTCCAACGTAGAATCACTAATATTCATAAAACCATCTCCCATAAAAATGATTCAAATTACATCACTGAATTATACCTTGTTAAACTCTTAATTCTGGTAATCTAATCTACTAGTGTCTATTAACCTCTTCATTATTTGATTATGCACTAATTAAATCCATATTTGCTTTATTATGAATTCTATAACCAATGGAAATGTTCTTTTACAAAAGTAAGCCTAATATTTGTGTTGTTACAAAGTTATCACTAATTAACCTAGCAAAAAATTAGATGTGGTTACATGTGTAACTTCTGGTGCTACTTAGTAAATTTATAAAATCAAGTCATATAATTGTGATCCAAAACCCAATGAATTTTTATTTTACCCCAACTCAAATATTAGGGAACAGACAATATAATAAGAAACTGATATTTTAAAATATTAAAAGCTAAAAACCATTTCCATTTTATTTAGCAATCAAACTTTCAAAATTATTAAAAATCCTAGCTGGATATTGAAATGAGAAAAATACTTTTGAAAATGGAGAGTCAACTAAAGGACAAGATTACCCTCCACCTCACTCTACTGACTTATTTTTGGGTATAAAATAAAGGCAGTTCCTGTTTTACATCTCACCTTCTATTTATTCAACAAAATCTAATGAATACTTTTAACCACCTGCTGCCTCATGAATTCTGCTATTGTGATTTTTGAGTTGATTCTGAATTTAAAGGTAAACCACATGGGTCAGATTTACCAAAATCACACATCCACCATCTAGTGAGAGAGAGGAAGACCTGGAGCTGACCAAAATTCTTTCAGAAACCTACTCACAGAAGACCCTTTTCTTACTGTGACTTGAGGTTTCTCCACGCATCCTAATCAGTGAGGCTCAAACCTAAGCAGCCTGGTATTCGTTTTCTGGACAACTTGGGGTCTTATCCCCTAAAATAATTGGAGATTACGTACACAAAGGAAAAGATTTATAATGTCACATGATTCTGAACAGCAGATGAAAAGTCTCTGCATTTACAAAATGCTGCAAAGATAAAGTAATGCCAAAAACACAATCAAAAATAATGGTTTTGAGAGTCAATGAACAGCTATGGAAAACTTCAGTCCAGCAAGTCAGTAGCTGTAGGTCAACCCCTGGCACCAAGACTTAGGACCTTGGGAAAGACATTTCATTTCTCTGGTCTTCAATTTCCATTTAATTACAACAGCATATACCTGTAATCCTCGCTACTTGGGAGGCTAAAGCAGAAGGAACTCAAGTTTGTCAAGGCCATTTAGCTATTTAACAAGACCATGTCTCAAAAATAAAAAGGTCTGGGGATGTTGCTGAGTGGTAGAATACTTGCCTGTCGTGCAAGATCCTGGGTTCAATCCCTACTGCAACCAAATTAACTAAAGCAACAATAAAAACCTCCTCTCCTTTATTTACCACTTACATAATCTCTGAACCAAGCTTCAAATTCTTCCTCCAGTGAACGGGTATGCTTAGTAGGAAGGATCATTAAAAACCATAGAGGGGTGAAATTAACCTGCTATAAGTACTACCGAGAACTGATTTCAGCTACTATTCTCTACTAATCTCTGATGTCTATTAACTTTAGTCTATTTTTTTTAAAGTGAATTTTTTCTACTCCACTCTGCCATCTCTCAAATGTTCTCAAAGTATGATTTCCAATACTTCAGTAACAACTTCTATGTACTCTACAGAGGAATATGGCATGAGACACAGGGCTGGGGTGTAGTTCAATGGCATTGTGCTTGGGGCTGGGATGTGGCTCAAGCAGTAGCGCGATCGCCTGTTACGCATGCGGCCCGGGTTCGATCTTCAACACCACATACAAACAAAGATGTTGTGTCCGCCGAAAAACTAAAAAATATTTAAAAAATTTTTTTAAAAAAATGGCATTGTGCCTGCTTAGCAGGCAAGAAGCTCAGTGTACACACACGATACATTATCTGAATTCTAAATAAAAAACTAATGTAAATTAAGACTAAAACTTATAATAATCAACCCTGTTTCTTTACCATATTTGATAAACACAAAATTATAAAAATGCTTAAAACTGGAACATTATGTAATTGAAACATTACATTCATGAAGGCATATTCACACACAAAATAATCCACATTAAGCAGGAAAATAGAATAATTACATGTCATCAATGAATAAAAATATTTCCCTGACACTACTCTTCAACTTTAAACATGAGATAGAAAAAACAAAAAAACAGTTTGAAATAAGTTAGAAACAGTGGTAAAATCAATACAACTATTTTGCAAATATCCCATCTACAGTGATGTATAATATGGATGCCGGAGAGGCTACCAAGGGAAACTGAAAAAATCATATTATTATTACATATTTTAGCTATGTTAAAATAGTACATTTTTATATACAAGAAAAAATAAAGACAAAACAAACATAGTCAATATGTCAAATGAGTGACCACGCAAAAGTCATCAAATGATATGGCAATTTTTAATCACTAGCCATTTCAGAGAGTGTAGGAGGTCCAATTCTTGGTTTTTATTACTGATAAAATCATATTTTCCGTATAATCAAGTTCCCTTTTACTTGAGGGTCCTTAAATCAGTCTCTACGTTACAATGATTACAGTAGCTTCCAGTGTAACAAAATCAAAACCAAAATTCAGTTATTAAAAGAAACAATAAAGAACATACTACTTTTCAAAAATCTATAAACCTTGGAGAACATCTCCTAAATGCTTCTTTTACTATACAATAAAGATTTAACACGTGTACACCTGGCAGCCCCGGAGGTGGAGGCAGGAGGATTACAAGTTTAAAGCCAGTCTCAGCAACTTAGCAAGGCCCTAAGCAACTCAATGAGACCCTTTCTCTAAATAACATATTTTAAAAGGGCTGGGGATGTGGTTCAGTGGTTAAGCACCCCGGGTTCAATCCCAGGTACCAAAAAGAGAAAAAAATAACAGTCAAGAAAACAAATAACCAACAACAAAACAAACCACAAAAGTAAAGAATTAAATAAAGCAAAAAATATGAACGAGAAAACAAAATGCAGTCTATTAAAAAAAAAAAAAAAATCAGGCCCCCAAAAGGGAAAGCTAACAAATGCAGACTTCAAAATAAGAAAAAGCTCATAAAGATCACAAATACTACGAAAATTTCTTTAAGAGAACTTTATGCAACTATGTCCTAACAACTTAAAGCCATAGCCAAAAGCAATTTCCTAGAGAACTATAAAAACTATAAATTACTCCATCCAAGTCAAAAAGATGTAGTAGTATCTGTCCCCGCGATACACATTCAAACACATCTACCAAACAAGGCAGTTTAGTGAATGAATTCTATCAGTTTCCAAGAAAATTATGAAATTGTTTCCTAAACTGCCCAACAGAATTCAAGTCTAAGAGTCAAAATACAAAATACTTGTTAGAAGACAAAGAGAAAAATATTGAACACCAAATTTCAAAAATATGCAAACTGATGATATTAAAATTTCAGCAGTGGTGTTTACCTCATCCAACCAAAATTTCAGGCAAAGCCTGATGAAACAATGGACCTAATGCACTATTCTTTCTCATTTCCCAAAATAGACCATAAAGTGTCCACTTATTAGGTTTGGATCTTAAATGTCGCCCACAGGCCATGTATTGAGGCTGGTCACTAGCATGTGAGAGGTGATGAAACCTTTAAGAGGTGGTACTTAGTAGAAAGAAATTAGGTCACTGGGACCAGGCCCCCAAAGGGGATAAAGGAACCCTGGCCCCTTCCTCTCCTAGCTCCCAGTCTGCCATATATAAAACAACTCTGTTCCACAATGTGCCCTCCCCCTACAATGTTCCGCCTAACCAAGGGCCCAAAGTAATGGGGCCAAGTGAATATGGACTGAAACCTCAGAAACTGTGAACCAAAATAAATATTTTCTCCTTATAAACTGATTATCCCACGTATTTTATCACAGCAAGGGAAAGTTAACTAACACACTGCTATAATATGGGGGGAGGGAAGGTGATAAATCACACAACTACTGCTTATTCTATTACAATATTAAAACAATAAACACCTCCATTTATGAATATGGTATAATTTATAAACCAATATTAACACATTAACAATGTTTTCTGAAGTATACCAATACAGTATATCTGAGGAATATATGAACAATTTAACATAAATTGAGTAAAGTACTTGGTTTAGATGATCTCCCCAGAGCAGCGGGTTTAGGTCAGTGGCAGAGAACTTGCCTAGCAAGAGCAAGCTGGACAGGGTAAAATTCCTATCCTTAAAGTCAAGTAGTATAAAATATCAGATTTTCTTTTGACTAATTTGTAGAAAGTAAGTAGGTAAACACCTACATGAAAAAAAGAGGAATTGATCACTATTGAAAAAAAGAGGAATTGATCACTATTGAAGTTCAGTGTTGAGTACATGAGGAATTCTCTCTGGAAATGTAAGAATGTAACCATAATTAAAAGTTTGCTTAAACAGGGGAAACTAGGTACCTGTCATATAGTGACTCTCTCTGTACTACATTCCAGGCTTTTCTATAAATCTCAAAGTAGTCTAGACTTAAATTTAAAAATTGACAGTTTGTTTAAAGGTGGTGAGTGGTGTGGGAAGATTGTGGTTTAAGTAGCATTTCCCATTAAAGGAACCCAGGCTCCTTAGGGGAAATGCTGGATTAGAGATGTGGGGTAGGAAATGCATACAAGATCAACCTAAACCATTTTATCACACCAGAAAAAAAGAAATTTATCCAAGACTACCGGGATCTCATCAGAACAAAGAAAACATCTAGAATGAGATCCCACTAGCCCAAGATTTGAAAAATGCATCAAAAACAAACAAGTACAACAACAAAAAACAATAACTACATTGGATTCAAACATTAAATATATAATAAACTTTGCTCATAACAGTACTTTTAAAAGCTCACTGATCATCCTTAGACAATGTTAGGGAAACAAACAAAAAGATGCACTGATTCAAGAAAGAGTCACAGAATTATTTAGATAAATATTAGAAGGGTATTTTATAAAATTTTATTCATTCCTAATAAACCTCTCAAACAGCTATAGTAGGAAACTGTTAACATGATAAATGGTATCAATCAATAACAAATATCCAATTAAAAATGAAACATTAAGATGGGTGTGATGGCACATGCCTGTAATCCCTGCAGCTTGGGAGGCTGAGGCAGCAGGATCGCGAGTTCAAAGCCAGCCTCAGCAATTTAGCAAGGCTCCAAGAAACTTGGTGAGACCCTGTCTCTAAATAAAATACAAAAAGGACTGGGGAAGTGGCTCAGTGGTTAAGCGTCCCAGGGTTCAATCCCAGGTACAAAAAAAAAAAAAAAAAAAAAGATACATTTAGCTGGGCATGGTGGCAAATGCCTATAATCCCAGAGACTCTAGGCTCAGGCAGGAGGATTATGAGTTCAAGGCCAGTCTCAGCAATTTAGCAAGGTACTGTTTCAAAATAAAAAATTAAAAAGGGCTGGGGGATGTGGCTCGGTGGTTAAGTGCCCCTGGTTCAATCCCTCCCTGCCAAAGAAACACTGTCATAAAGTCAAGGCCTTTAAAATGTACATTGTTTTGTCACTCAACATTATTCCAAAAATCCTAAAATAATACAACAAATCAATAAAAAGTTTATAAACTCAGATTTACAAACAATAGGACTCTTTACATTGGAAATACAAAGAATCCACTGAAAATTAGAATCATTAGCATTAAACCAACAAAATTCTTCTGTTAAATACTGTCTGAGGTTTCACATTATTTTAAAATCAATTTTATTGCCAGGCATGGTGGTGTATGCCTATAATCCCAGAGACTTGGGAGGCTAAGGCAGGAGGATTGCAAATTTGAGTCCAGTCTCAGCAATTTAGCAGGCCCTAAACAATTTATCGACACCCTATCTCAAAATAGAATATAAAATGGACTGCAGATGTAGCTCAATGGCAAAACACCTCTGGGTTCATCCCCAGTACAAAAACAAAATCAGTAAAATTTCAATGAATGTTGGAGAGCATAACAGGCCAAACTTAGAATAATTATATATATATAAAATTATTTATATATACATATTTATAAAATAGAGCAAGTGGTGATGAATGAATAAAGCAGGGGAAGCAAAAGAGAAAGAATTTGCAATTTAACAGGAAAAAGATCACAGTGAAAAGGTAATTGAGTAAATAGAGAGTTAACAAAATGCCCATGGAATACCTGAGGAAAAACATTCCAAAGCACAGGACAGAGCTGATACAAAAGTTCCCAGGAGAAAAGCACATCTAACACACAGCAGGTAAAACAAAAAGCCCACCACTGCTGAACCAGAATAAGCAAGAAAAATGCATACTAAGATAACAGAATGATGGGGAAGCAAATATAGCTCAGCAGGAAAGCATCTACCAAGCATGTCTAAGGCCCTGGGAAGTGAAGATTAGGGCAGGTACAGAAGGGGAAAGATCCATGAAGAGCAAAGAAAATGACAAACCTGGGACAGCGTTTAGCCTAAACAAGTATTGTATAAAATAGAATACAATGAGGTTGCAGAAAGAACGAAAATTCTAGGAAACAATGTAAACTGGTAGAGTGGTAAACAGTTTCTATAGGTGAGAAAAGAAAATTTTAGACTGACATACATCAAAATTTTAAGAGAAGTGAGGTGTGGTGGTACATGCCTGTAATCTCAGAGGCTGGGAGGATCACAAGTTCAGAGCCAGCCTCAGCAACTTAAGAGCCCTAAGCACTTAGCAAGAACCACATTCTAAATAAAATATAAAAAGGGCTGGGAATGTGGCTAAGTGCCCCCTGAGTTCATTTCCCAGTATCTCCTCCTACAAAAAAAAAAATTAAGAGAAATTTCAAGACAAAATCAAGAAGCTGTGGGGAAGCAAAAACATAATTTCACCACTAGTAAAGCAGGAAAAGCAAGGCAATGAGGAAAGAAAAGAAAAACAACAATACATGTGAAAACAAAGACAAAACACAAAGTAAGATAGCACAAAATAAAATGAATGAGTAAAAGTAAATGCATATAAGTTAATAACCCCAACAAATCAAAAGAAATAGACTGTCTAATAAAAGAACAAGATTAGGAATATCTACAGAAAAGCAAACATCAAAAAGATAATACAGGGGGCTGGGGTCGTGGCTTAGCGGTAGAGCGCTCACCTAGCACATGTGAGGTGCTGGGCTCAATCCTCAGCACCACATAAAAATAAATAAGTAAAATAAAGGTATTGTGTCCAACTACAACTCAAAAATAAATTAAAAAAAAGATAATACAGGAATATGAAGAACAACTCTATACCCATTTAAATGGACAATACAGATAAAATGAACCAATTCCCTGAAAAACACAAACTACCAAAACACTCAGTTTTTAAAACAGATCTTTTAAATACACTTCTAACTTGTAATTAAGGAAATTTAATTCACAATTTTAAAACCCCTATGAGAAATTCCCACCCCCAAGTGATTGTACGAATTCTTTTTTTTTTTTTTTAATATTTATTTTTTAGTTTTCGGCGGACACAACATCTTTGTATGTGGTGCTGAGGATCGAACCCGGGCCGCACGCACGCCAGGCGAGCGCGCTACCGCTTGAGCCACATCCCCAGCCCAATTGTACGAATTCTATCAAAGAAAAAATGAACCCTAGTTCTACATAATATCTATAAATAATACAAAAAAAGAGCTAAAGAACACTTTCAAATTCATTTTGTGGATCTAGTATTACCCTAAGACCAAAGCAAGAAAACAGTACAAAAAAATAAAACTATTCATCAATATCCCTCATAAATACAGATGCTTAAACCCTTAACAAAATATTAGTAAATAAAATTCAGCAATGTTTAAAAAGAATTATTCATGTGACCAAGAAGGGTTTATGCCAGGGATGAAAAGACTGGCTCACTGTTTGAAATCAACAAAGTACATGATATTAACAGCTAAAAAAGAGAAGTTCTATGATCAAATCAATCAATGCAAAAAAAAAAAAAAAAAAAAGCAGTTGACAAATTCAGCAACTACTCATTATCAAAAACTCTCAGAAAAATAGAAGTAGAAGGGAACTTCCTCAACTTCATCAACAGTATTAACCCAAAAAACAAAACAATACAAAAAACCCCAAACCTAGCTCTCCTACCAGTTAATGGTGAAATTAACTGCTTTCCCTCCATAATTAATGTTGGGAATGAGGCACTTATTCAATATAGTGCTAAAAGTTCTAGTAAAATAAGAAAAGGAAATAAAAGGTCCAACAAGTTGGAAAGGAAAAAAGTAAAACTATTTACAGATGGCATGACTGCCTATGTAGAAAATCCCATCAAATCTACAAAATGACTCCTAGAACTAATAAGTGAGTTCAGCAAGGTGACAGAACACAAAACAAACACCAACCATATCATTACATCTTTATAAACAGTGAACATGAGTAAAAAACAAGTTAAAAACATAACCCCATTTACAATCACTCCAAAGAAAATAAAATACATAATGTAAAAATCTAACAAATATGTATCGAACTTGTATGTTAAAAACTACAAAACACTGGTGAAAGAAATCTAAGAACCAAAAACATGGATTCTTCATCTTGGACTGGTTAAGTGGCCCTCAGTTCATTCCCCGGTACCTCCCCCTAAACCCCCCAAAAAATTTATTTAAGAAAAATTTCAAGACAATATCAAGAGGCTGTGGGAAAGCAAAAACATAATTTCATGATTAGTTAACACAGTTAAGATATCAGTCCTCCCCAAATTGATACACAGGTTTAACATAGTACCTATCCAAACCCCAGTAAGAATTAGATATGGTGGTGAACACTGGCAATCCCAGTGACTTAGGAGACTGAGGCAGAAGGACCACAAGTTTGAGACCAACCTCAGCAACTTAGTGAGGCCCCCAAAGACTTGACAAGACCCTGTCTCAAAATTTAAAAAAGTACTGGTGAGGGGCAAGGGTTACGGTTCGGTGGTAGAGCACTTGCTTAGCATGTGTGAGGCACTAGGTTCAAATCTCAGCACCACATACAAATCAAGGTCCATCAACAACTAATATTAAAAAAAAAAGTGCTAGTGATGTGGCTCAGTGATAGGGGGCACAAGGCGCTGGGCTTAAACCCCAAGACCCAGTGGGGAGACCAGTCCATGTATTATTCTGTAACTTAACTACAGTAATCAGGCTGTGTAATATTAAGGAAAAGACAGATACATAGCTCAGTGGAACAAAATAGAAAGTCCAGAAATAGAACTACTCAGATATGCCTAAATAATTTTGACAAAGGTATCAAATGTATAAATAAAGATGGCTTTCAACAAATGATACTAAAAACAACATCTATAGATTTAAAACAAACTACCATCTAAGTCTCCTAACTTCTACAAAAATTAACTCTAAGTGGATTGCAGACAAAAGTAAAAATATAACTACAAAAAAATTTTAATGGGAAATCTTTAAGATGTAGGTCTATTCTAAGAGTTCTTCGACTTGACACTATGATTAATAACAGGGAAAAAAGATATATTGGACTGTATCAAAATTAAAACTTGTACTCTGCAAAAGACCCCTTTAAAAGAATGAAAAGGCAGTCAAGAGGCTCAGAAGACATTTGCAAACTACATACTTGACAAAGACTAGTATCTAGAATATATTGATATTCTCAGAATACAACAGAAAAAAAAATTAAAAATATTTTAAAAGGACAAAAGACATGCAGAGACATTTCATCAATGGGGATATAGAAATGGCAAATATGCACAATAAAAAATGTTTAACATCATTAGCCTTTAGGGAAATGCAAATTAAAACCTCACTAAGTTATCACTTAGATACCTACCAGAATGGCTAAAATGAAAAACAGTGATAACACCAAATGCTGGCAAGGATGTAGAGAAACTGGATCACTCCATATATTGCTGGTAGGGATGAAAATGGTACAGCAACTCTGGAAAACATTTAGCAAGTTCTTTAAAATCTACACATAAAACAATCAGAAGATGCAGTAATTGCACTCGTAGGCATTTATCCCAGAGAAATTAAAGTTTAAGAAAAAATTAGAATACCCTATGAACAAAACTTTTATTGACAACTAAGCAAAAAACTATAAACTCAGATGTCTTTCAACAACAAATGGATAGTAGTAAATTCATACCACTGAATACAACTCAGCAATAAAAAGGGACAACCTTTTACACATAATAGCCCAGAAGAATTTCCAAAGAATTCTGCTGAATGAAAAGAGTGAAATCAAAAAGGCTACATACTATATGATTCAATTTATGTAACATTCTTTTTGTTTGTTTTGGTCCAGGTATTGAACTCAAGGGCGCTTAACCAGTAAGCCACATCCCTAGCCAGCTGAGGCTGGCTTTGAACTCGTGATCCTCCTGCCTCAGCCTCTCAAGTCACTGGGGCATGGGCCACCATACCCAGCCTATGTAACATTCTTGAAAAGACAAAAATCACCGAAGTGAACAGATTGATTCATGTTTCCCAGAAAGTAGGGGTTGAGGGTGGCTAAAATATACTATGAGGGATTCTTAAGCAGATAAAAAATAGTATCTTCATCCTGTCAGTGCCAATATCCTGATTTTTAACACTGTACTGCAGTTTTGCAAGATGTCACCAACTAGGGACACTGGATAAAGAGTACATGGGATGCCTCTACTATTTCTTGAAACTGTAAGTGAACTGACAATTATCTTCATAAAATAATTTAAAATTACAAAGACCAAGAGTATCTGGACAGTTAATTTTTTTAATTCAATAGCATGATATTCACAAGACATATGATCAAAATAACACAAATGTACAGAGAGAGAATTTTCAAAATCAGACAAAATTAACTGCCCAAAAGACATATAATCTAGATATATTAATTAATAACACCAGTATTTAAATCAAAGCCATTCCTAGGTACATATTTAGTATATAGAGTAAAAGTTTCAGGCTGGGCATAGGGACACATACACTCATAATTCCAGCAGCTTGGGAGGCTGAGGCAGTAGGATCCTGAATTCGAAGCCAGCCTCATCAACTCAGTAAGGCGCTAAGAAACTCAGACCCTATCTCCAAATAAAATTCTAAAAAGAGCTGGGGATGTGGCTCAGCAGTTAAGCACCCTGGGTCCAATCTCGAGTAACAACAACAACAAAAATGTTTCAGTTCAGCAGGAAAATAGAATAGATTTAAACTTTCATGTTCTAATAACAAAACATTTTTATCTGTTGCTAGAACTATAAGACAAAACTGAGTAAAACAATAGAAAATGAACATAACTCTAAAAAACAATGACATAAGGTTTTAGCAACATAATTAAAATACTGACAAAAATTATATAAATTAGCCAGGCGCAGAGGAGCATGCCTATAATCCCAGCAACTAAGGAGGCTGAGGCAGGAAGATCATGCCTGAGTTCAAAGCCAGCCTCAGCAACTTAGCAAGGCACTAAAAGCAACTCAGAGAGACCCTGTCTTTAAATAAAATACAAAAATGGGCTGGGGATGTAACTCAGTGGTTGAGTGTCTGAGTTCAATACAGGTATCAAAAAAACAAACAAAAAAAATTGTAAAAATTAACCACATCGTCTCAACAGATTTCAAAGAAATGGTATCATACAGACCATGCTGCCTGGCCACAATGCTGTGTGCATAAATCAATAACAATTCACTAGAGGAACTCCCTATGCTTGGAAATTAAATTTTTTAAATAAGAATTCATGGAGGCTGGGGATGTGGCTCAAGCGGTAGCGCACTCGCCTGGCATGCGTGCGGCCCGGGTTCGATCCTCAGCACCACATACAAAACAAAGATGCTGTGTCTGCCGACAACTAAAAAATAAATATTAAAAAATTCTCTCTCTCTCTCCCTCTTTCACTCTCTCTTTAAAAAAAAAAAAAGAATTCATAGGGAAAAAATAGAAAAGTGCAAGGGAAAGTACTACACATCAAAACTTGGGTGATGCAGAAAAGGCAATATTAAAACATCTTTGGTCTTAAAAGTCTATACTAAGGGGATATAGCTCAGTTTGTAGAGTGCTTCCCTTCCACACACAAGGCCATGGGTTCAATCCTCAGCACCATAAAAAAGAAAAAAGAAAAAAAGTCAGTCTATACTAAAATGTTGAAGCTAATAAAAGGCATTCAACTTATTAGAAAATAAGAATCATGAAAAAATAAAGAGAAACCAATGAAATGGGAAAAGGATACACTAAAGAGTATAATCAAAGCAAATTATTCTCCAAAGTCTTCAAAATTTGCGAAGTTTTAGCTTAAAATAAGAAGGTGTTAAAAAAAAAAGATCAAGAGGATATTACTTACACAGTACTACAAAATTAGAGATTAACAACTTAATACCATAAATTCAAGAATGTATATGAAGGGGCTAGGGTTGTGGCTCAGTAACAGAGTGCTTGCCTACCATGTGTGAGGCACTGTGTTCAACCCTCAGCACCACATAGAAATAAATAAATAAACATTAAAAAAAAAGAATGTGTATGAAATGAACAAATTCTTATAACCTACCAAAACAGGTTTGAAAATTGAAAATATAAACAATATAATCAAAATGACTATATCAGTAGTTAAGAAGCATCTTTCAAAGAAACCACTAGAGGCTAGGAAAATAGCTCAGTGGTAGAGTGCTTACATGGCACACAGGAGGCCTAGTAACAATTGGGGGGTGGAGGGGGCATGGTACTGTGGCCCAGGGTTGCTTTATCACTGAGCTAATCCCCAACCCATTTTATTTTGAGACAGGGTCTTACTAAATTGCTTAAGGCCTCATTAAATTGCTGAGACGGGCCTTGAACTTGTAATCCTCCTGCCTTAGCCTCCCAAGTCATGGATTACAGGCACGTGCACCAAAGCCCAGCATTACTAACAATTTTATAAGAAAGGTCTATCAGACATTTCAGAAATACATCATTCTAATGTCATATAAACATTTCCAGAAGAGAAAAGATGTTTTAAAAATTCTAGGCAAGTGTTACTTATTATTTGAAATAAAAATCCTAATCCTAATCCTAATTAAGCATCTTCAAATTTAATTCAATAATGAAAAAAGAAACAGATCAGCATTTAATTTATATTTGAAACAGAAGGTTTGTCTAAGTAAGTTAAAAAATTAACCAATGTTGGGCTGAGGATATAGCTCAGTTGGTAGAGTGCTTGCCTTGCACTCACAAGGCCCTAGGTTCAATCCCTATGACCACAAAAAATAAATAAATAAATAAATAACCAATGTACTTCACTCTATTAATAGAGTATAGAAGAAAATAGTCTCAAAAGATGAAGAAAAAGCTTGTGATTGAAAAAAAAGTTAGCAAACCAAGGAAGCAAAATCTTCAGCCTACAAAGACTCTCTACAATAAACCTTTAGTAAGCATCATACTTAACTGTGAAACTTTTAAAGTATTCCCTTTAAAATCAAGACCAAGATCAGGATGCCCACATCACAGCTTCTATTCAACACTGTACTGAAGATCCTAGCCAGCACATTAAGACAAGAAGAAAAAGAATTAAAAAAAAAAAAAAAAAAAGCACAAGAATCAGAAAAAACAAAGATGTCGTTATTCACAAATAGGACTATCTCTATAGAAAAATCCAAAGAAAATCTATAGATAATTTACCACAACTAGAAATGCAGCAAGGATGTTATACAAAGTCCAGTTGTACTTCTAAACACCAGTAGTGTAGAAAATATAATTATAAAAAGACAATATTTATGATTTACTCTAAAGTATCTAGAAATAAAATCTAAAAAAATATTTGCAACAGCTTAATTGAAAATTATAGAACGTTACAAAAAGCTATAATAGATGTAAATAAATGGCGAGTACAATACTCATGGTTTAAAAATAACTAATTTACAGATTCAATGCATTTCTCAAACGCAAAAACCCAAATGAGATGTGGTGGGGGGAACAGACAGATAAACAGATACAGAGACAGATAAAGAAACTCGAAAATATGATTCTCAAATTGTAGAGAGGACCAATAAGCCAAAAAGTTCCTTAAAGAACAACTATAAGACCCACAGGACTTTTCCTGCTTCTGTCTCTTCTCAGTGACTCACTAGACTATTTCAGAACAACTGTCCCTGTGAGAATTTAACTGAGCATAATATTAAAAAAAGCATTTGTTTGAAGGCATAAAGTGTTACAAGGGAGTCAAGGACTCACCCTCCACCGGGCCCCGCTGGAACTCTCCGGGAACTCCGCGAGAATTCAACCGGTTAAATTGAAGGTGGTTAAGATGCCTTCACAGCCACAGCGGAGGTAAGATTGCATCATCCGAAGCCTAGTTAATCTTAAAAGCATTACTTAAAAAAAAAAAAAAAACATGAAAATGGGAAGATAATAGGATAAAAGCAATTTGGAGAAAGAAGATTAGAAATTTGAAGTGGGAAACTTTGAAGACAGAAGTACAGGAAGGTGAAGAAAAGATAGAGAAGATGTAGGAAGACAAGAATTTTAAACCCACAAAATAGGAAGCAAAAGAAAACTAGGAGGAAAAAAAGCAACTAAGGGTGAATGTACAAACCTTAGAAGAAAACGAGAAGATAGAAACAAGATAGAAAATGGTTGAAAATGTCAAGTAAAGGTATTTCAGATAGAAAATGCAAGAAGCCAAGACAACTATTGGATACAGACATTCAAAACAGAAAAAGGTAGAAGAGAGAAGTTTGAAGTCAGTCTAATCTGGGACAGACAAGATCCATTCTTTATAGGACATATCAGGGCACATACAGGATTGCCTGGAGCCCTTAGTTTGGGCAATGATTTAGCAGATAAAACTACACATGACATACATATTTTTTCTACGCTAGAAGAAGCTACAAGTTTTCCTAAATCCCTCCATGTCAATGCAAATACTTTAAAAAAGCGTTTTAAAATAACTAAGGAACAAGCTAGACAAATAATAAAACAATGTCAAAACTGTGTGAC